TGCAGAAGGCATTTTTATAAATGTCTTAAGCCTTGTATTTTTAAGTTGTGTAAGTTTTATTAATAAAGGCATAGAACCAGTTTATTTGTAGTGCACTGACAATAGTTTTATATAATTAGTTTATTAATTAAATTAATAAAAAGACAAAATGACCTTGATATATGTTTGGTAATTGTACCTGAATGAATTTAAAATTAATTTGCTATATTTCAGATCAATATATATTGTTTTCCTTAATTTTAATTAACCCTATGCAACTTTATTCTCATCTGAATTATAAATAAATGATTTCCGTATAAAATAATTTTTTAAAATAATAAAACAAAAACACATTTGATTTTCTTTTTTAATCAATGTAGAATGTGTAACTTAAAAATAAACAGATTAGTGCTCCGACTCCGAGGACAAGAAATGAAAACCAATGCGATATGATGAATCTCCAAAAGATGGAACACACAGACTGTTTTTAAATGGGGTTGGATAAATATGTTTTGCTTTTAAAACGGTGTGTGTGTGTGTGTGTGTGTGTGTGTGTGTGTGTGTGTGTGTGTGTGTGTGTGTGTGTGTGTGTGTGGTTGGGTTACAGTTGTAGGTTACAGTTTGACAAGAGTTTAGAGTGTGACAAAAGCACAATGTTGTGTTTCATTGCGAGTGTACACAAATATAAGTAAACACTTTGCAGTTTGAATCATGTCCTGTATGAACAAAATGACGGAGTATGTTTTTATGTTTCCACTGTTCGATCGCGCCCGCGTCTCTCTCTCACACACACACACACACACACACACACTCACACACACACACATAGTTCGATCGCGCCTGCGCCTCTCTCTCTCACACACACACAGAGTTCGATCGCGCCCGCGCCTCTCTCTCTCACACACACACAGAGTTCGATCGCGCCCGTGTCTCTCTCTCACACACACACAGAGTTCGATCGCGCCCGCGTCTCTCTCTCTCACACACACACAGAGTTCGATCGCGCCCGCGTCTCTCTCTCACACACACACAGAGTTCGATCGCGCCTGCGTCTCTCTCTCACACACACAGAGAGTTCGATCGCGCCTGCGCCTCTCTCTCACACACACAGAGAGTTCGATCGCGCCTGCGCCTCTCTCTCTTTTGCGGGGCTGAAGCCAACTTGATGTGTTGAATGCTCAGAGCACGTTATAAAAATGTATACTTAAAATAGGCTACACATTTCTGTTTTAATAAATGCTCATAGTAAATCATAGCATATTGCCTAAAACATAAGGTAGGTACAAAAATAGTCAGTGATACATTTGCGACCCATTAAAAATTAGGGTCGCGATGGCATTTCAAAAGGTCGCAGTGTAGTTCCCTGCACTCACCAAAAGGATTATTAGGAACACCTGTTCAATTTCTCATTAATGCAATTATCTAATCAACCAATCACATGGCAGTTGCTTCAATGCATTTAGGGGTGTGGTCCTGGTCAAGACAATCTCCTGAACTCCAAACTGAATGTCAGAATGGGAAAGAAAGGTGATTTAAGCAATTTTGAGCGTGGCATGGTTGTTGGTGCCAGACGGGCCGGTCTGAGTATTTCACAATCTGCTCAGTTACTGGGATTTTCACGCACAACCATTTCTAGGGTTTACAAAGAATGGTGTGAAAAGGGAAAAACATCCAGTATGCCGCAGTCCTGTGGGCGAAAATGCCTTGTTGATGCTAGAGGTCAGAGGAGAATGGGCTGACTGATTCAAGCTGATAGAAGAGCAACTTTGACTGAAATAACCACTCGCTACAACCGCGGTATGCAGCAAAGCATTTGTGAAGCCACAACACGCACAACCTTGAGGCGGATGGGCTACAACAGCAGAAGACCCCACCGGGTACCACTCATCTCCACTACAAATAGAAAAAAGAGGCTACAATTAGCAAGAGCTCACCAAAATTGGACAGTTGAAGACTGGAAAAATGTTGCCTGGTCTGATGAGTCTCGATTTCTGTTGAGACATTCAGATGGTAGAGTCAGAATTTGGCGTAAACAGAATGAGAACATGGATCCATCATGCCTTGTTACCACTGTGCAGGCTGGTGGTGGTGGTGTAATGGTGTGGGGGATGTTTTCTTGGCACACTTTAGGCCCCTTAGTGCCAATTGGGCATCTTTTAAATGCCACAGCCTACCTGAGCATTGTTTCTGACCATGTCCATCCCTTTATGGCCACCATGTACCCATCCTCTGATGGCTACTTCCAGCAGGATAATGCACCATGTCACAAAGCTCGAATCATTTCAAATTGGTTTCTTGAACATGACAATGAGTTCACTGTACTGAAATGGCCCCCACAGTCACCAGATCTCAACCCAATAGAGCATCTTTGGGATGTGGTGGAACAGGAGCTTCGTGCCCTGGATGTGCATCCCACAAACCTCCATCAACTGCAAGATGCTATCCTATCAATATGGGCCAACATTTCTAAAGAATGCTTTTAGCACCTTGTTGGATCAATGCCACATAGAATTAAGGCAGTTCTGAAGGCGAAAGGGGGTCAAAAACAGTATTAGTATGGTGTTCCTAATAATCCTTTAGGTGAATATATATATATATATATATATATATATATATATATGTATCATCAGATCATCCAGCCCTAAAACTTAAAAAACATCCAATTATGCAGAATATGTAATGGTAAATATTTAATTGATGAGTTGATACAATATATAAGGTATGATTTTACCCTTAAATTCAGCATATTGACACAAAATGATAACCGCAAATCCATCTTTCGCTGCCTGGAGTCCAGTTTTTTTCTATAAATTGCAGCGATCCATTTGCTTCTCAGATCTGTAGCTTTCGGCAGTCTGTAAAAATATACCTCCGATTTCTTGTCAAATCTAGTTGTAGCCTACAGTCAATAGCAAAGCTCTTTCCCAATTTAGATGCTTTGTGTGTTTTTCGCAGTATTCACGCTGAAAACCAATGCTGCCACTCAGTCTTTTTGCCACTCAGTGGGCGTAACCGCAGTCACTCCGGCCGACAGTGACATCACGCGCATACCCTCTTGCTAGCCACAACGAAATTTCCAACCCTACCTATTCAATTCATTAAAAACAAAAATTTTATATGAATTATTAACTTAAATTAACACATGTGTAATATTCAATTGTGTCCCGCATTTTATGTACACTCCTATTAAGTTACCGCAATATTTTCCTCCAATATTTTTTTAAACATTCCTTACAATTGTGACGACACAGAGGTAACATCGGTAACATCATGTAATTCGAACCAATGGTAGAGAATGCAGGAAGTAAATCATTTCATTAAATTATTTTTTTTCTCCAATTTTTACACAAATTGTAGCCTAATTTTTACTGTATATCAAAGTCCTATTAACCAAGTTACTGTAAGTTACAGAAAAAAATATTTTCCTTTAATGAATAATAACGTTACGCTTAGTAATAACTATAAAATAGCAAACTGGTCCCAAACTAGCTAACGTTAGCACTTGAGAGAAAGCTTAATTTACTCTTTAAAAAAACTCAAACCTGCTTTCACTGACCATTTGTTGAAAACTAGCTCTACGTTTTTTGAGTTATAGGCCGTGTTTTGTAACGGTACACTGAATTCATGGAAAGTGCCAATGACATCAGCTTCAAAAGTAAGTTTATTCCGTTCATCACTCACCTGAAAGTAAATTGCGTTGTTGGTTAAGTATTACGAATGTGACCATACATATGGTTTAATCATATATGTGTAAGTAGTAACCATAGACTGTAAAAAAAAAAATAGGTAGAAACTGAGGTTCAAACATTCGTGCATTTCAGTTTTTGGCCTGTGATCCACGGGTATCAATTGCGTCCTTGTTGCTTTGGAAACGGGATCTTTTCGGGACGGCACACCAAAAGGGACAATTGCTGACGTGACGTTTGTGCGGATACTGTTGGTTTAGGCCATTTTCCATAATTGATTTATTTGTGATTATAGTCCGTGTACAGTGGAAAAAAAAACATGCTGATACGACACTGTAGATTTGTGGGAATTTGTGTGTCTCTGGCTTATTCCAAATATTTTTTAATGTCTATAATAACAATTCACGTTGTTAAAGTCTAATATGAAGAACAAAAACTGACTGTTGATTGATTGACTCTACTTGGATACATCCATATTATTCGTAGCGCAGGAGATCTGTAGCCTCTGAGTTTGTATTACCCCAACTAACACAAACTTATTGGAAACCGTAGAGTTGGAAACACAGTATTAGTTTAAAAAGGGAATTAATCTTCTATGCAATAATGCCCTCTGGTGGTAAACTGCAGTCAGTCAGTCAATCCACATTGAAATTACGTTACAATGAACAATTATAAAACAATAAATGAAAGCAAAAAGAAAACATGAATAGTAAGAAAACTTCAAAGATTAACAGGTTATTTTTTTGTAAATATATAAAACATGACATTTGGCTGGTTAGGTTATTGTATATCTATATCTTAAGCTCACTACAAAAACCTTTATTAAAAAAATGGGATACATTTAGACATTCCACACTTGTGAATATAAAATTATACATTTTAGCATGTTGTCAATACTTTTAGCATCATATTTACAATAACAAACGCCGTCTTTCATAAAGTTATATAAGAGATATCAATTTTTTCCTATTTTTTTGTACAATTTGACAACCATAAAACAAATGACATATCTATGACAACTATCTCTTCTGTCCTTTCGCGAAACCCCTCCACATCACATTTCTTCAACACAAAATGTATTTAATCCTATTTGAACGTTACAAATGTTGAATGGTGTTTTTAGCAACAAAACGTCTGCGAGTCCACGCCCACATAGGTTTTCCGCCAATGAGTCTCAGCCAAACACACTGAGCTATCCAATAATCAAAGCGTTATCTACATATGCATCCTCTTGGACACGCCTTTAATCTCCATCGACCAATCAGTCTATTGCTTTAGTCAGTCAATCAACTCTACCCGCCCAGTTTTTCTGACGGAACGGAAGCCGACATGGGCCAAACCAGCCCATCCGGATAACATAGACAAACTTGGCAGCGAGCGGATGAACTGGTTGGATCTTTGTTCTTCACAGCTAGACTATCAACCTCTTTATATATTTTTGCGTATTGTCACTCATATGTATCACATTTATATCTAGATATAAAATACTCTTTCTTTGGGCACGCAGCTTCAGCACAGACAGATACTTTTTGGGCTAGCATATTTTCCTAGTGTTTTTAGTCCATTCTTCCCCCCACCGACGAGGTTTTATTGGACCAAGATAGGCGGCGCGGGCACCAAGATGTCGAACCGGATGGTGTGCAGAGAAGCGAGCCACGCCGGCAGCTGGTACACGGCCTCAGGTAGAGCCAGAGAGACAGCGGCCCGGGCCTGAGGTCCGGTGTCCTGCTTAACACCAATGTGTGTGTGTGTCTGGCAGTGTCTCAAAACCTGGTGAGCTGCCTACCTAGACAGCATAACTGGGATGTTCAGCACGCTCCTATGATAGCCAAAATGCTGCCTAGATAGGCAGCTCACTAAGTTTTTTGACACAGCCTGTGCGATCAGCTGGGAATTATTAAATAGCCGAGATTAAAATGGTTTAATGACCACAGAGCGCGTTTCTTTACATTTATACCTTTTTTTCCTGAGCTGACACCCTTTTAAAAAAACGAACTGGCTTTGTTTTAAACGCAAACTAAAACATGTCAGGTTAATTTAGTTAAAATATACTATAAAATTCTGCATCCCAATTCTTCTAATTCTGTAAACAGAAGTGCGGCATTTACTTGCCCTGGCATTTAAATGGCCAGTTCATGAATTTGTTTATGGGTTAGAAATCATTTTGAATAATTATTTCTGCTTTTCAGGGAGTAAACTAAAACCACTTGCATTTAAATTCATGGGCCATTATTTAAATCGACCAGACTCTTGTTTCTCTCATATTTGCCTGTTGTTGTGTATTTTTGTGTCTCTATTGTGTGTAGCTTCTCTGTGTATCAGCAGCTGAGAACAAAAACAGGCCAGCAGTTAGCGGGTTAGCCTATAGCCGGTGTGTGTGTGTGAATCTCCTCTTATACACACCAACTACACGAACTAATACCACAGATTAATATACCATCCACACTAACTTTACCCAGCCCTACTTTGCCGGATCAGTAAATCCAGATAGATAAACTGCCGCAATTCAGAAGAAGACTGGATTGACCCTGCTAACGGCTAAAGCTATTTGATGAAGTTCATATAACAGCTGTACATGACAGATATGTTTTTATGGAGAATCAAACCCTATATTTCATTAATTCTGATGACACGTATACTGTTTATTGTTATATCGGTCAGCATTTAGTTGTCCAGTTCCATTCCAGCAAATACAGTGAGCACAGTCAGCACATGAAAGTGTTTAGATAGCCGATGGTGTTGCTCTCTCTCTCTCTCTCTCTCTCTCTCTCTCTCTCTCTCTCTCTCTCTCTCTCTCTCTCTCTCTCTCTCTCTCTCTCTCTCTCACTCTCTCTCATATGCAGTAACAAAGGATGCATGACAAAAGCCCAGTGCTACACACACACACACACAAACAAACAAAGATCACACACGTATACTGTACAGAAATCAATCTGCTGGCCTTTACACGATGACCTGTGTTCTGCAAGCTGCCAACATATTTAGAGATCTTGTTTTGTAAAAAAAAAAGAAAGAAAGTATTTTGCATGCTTATTCTAGAAGGTCTATTTCCAGCAAATAATATCTATGTAATTTATTTAAAACAGTCTAGTGGGTCCTTATGTTTTGTTGGTTTCCCACATACAGAGTTACTGTGGCATACAAGACTATAAACATCCGATTGGCCAATAACAGGAAGGGTGACAGTGTTTCAAATTGCACATACAATGTTGTCAATGAATCTCGTTTCTCTTCTCTCTCTCTCTTCTCTCTCTCTCTCTCTCTCTCGTCTCTCTTCTCTCTCTCTCTCTCATCCTCGTCTCTCTCATCTCTCGCTCTCGTCTCTCTCTCTCTCTTCTTTCTTTCTTTCTTTCTTTTCTTTCTTCTTTTCTTTCTTATCTTTCTTTGAACTTTAGCTTGCTTTTTCTTCTTCTGTTTCTTCTTTCTTCTTTCTCTTTGCTTAATCTTCTTCTTTCTTTCTTTCTTTCTTTTCTTTCTTTCTTTCTTTCTTTCTTTCTTTCTTTCTTCTCTCTCTCTTCTCTCTCTCTCTCTCTCTCTCTCTCTCTCTCTCTCTCTCTCTCTCTCTCTCTCTCTCTCTCTCTCTTTCTCTTTCTCTTTCTCTTTCTCTTTCTCTTTCTCTCTCTCTCTCTCTCTTTCTCTCTCTCTCTTTCTTTCTTTCTCTCTTTCTCTCTCTCTTTCTTTCTCTCTCTCTCTCTCTCTCTCTCTCTCTCTCTCAAAATATTATGATAAAATATTTTTGTATTGTATAAAATGAATTAAAATGTCACATTTGTTGTCATTAAATTGTGATCAATTAAAATTTGTATATATTTGCAATCAGCCTTCTAAACAGTTAAAGGCATCAGTCATTAAAAACATTTCTTTCGAACAATAAAATTACTACAGTTCCTAATTTATTGGTATTCTTCATATGTGCTAGACTGATATATTGACCAGGTCTCATATGTTCTCTCTCTCTCTCTGCTGGGTAGTAACTGATTACATCTAATCGAGGTTACATAATCAGATTTCAGAAAAAGTATTTGAAATTAGATTATATTACATTTTAAAATACTTGCAATCAGCCAACAGTTGCTTTTTTTTATTGATTACATATTCACATAATGGCAGTAAATCATTCATAATTTAGTGATTCTCCTTAATTCTTCTATTTTATGTTTTACATTTTTTCTTTCTTTCTAAAAAAAAAAATATATATATTTTTTTACTTGTATACATCCAGAAAGTCTCCTAGTTTTGTGAAATTACACACACAGACCAGCCACAGTCAGGTGGCTATAATTACATGGCAAATTGAAAGGCCACAAAGCATTCGACTCTTTTCTCAACATTGTAACATTGCATATCAAACTCCTGTGAAAACACAAATTATTATTTGAATTATCACTCAGTAAGTCATTTAACCATGTATTACTAGGCTATGTATTTGGAAGGTGTTTGTCTTTCAAACACCTTTTTATTGTAGTTTTCATTATTTTAGAATTATTTATTTTAATTTGACATTTTTATGATTTATAAACGTAATGTGACGTAATGTTTAATCCACTTTATGTTGATAAAACAATATAAAATGATAAAGAATATATTTCTCTCTCTTTGTATTTTAATATCAACATGGTACAATATTATCCTGTTCAGTTCAATGTGTTAAACGAGTTAGGTCAAAAGCAATCTGAAGGTAATCAAAAAGTAGTCAGATTATATTACCTAAAATGTGTAATGTAATGGATTACACTACTAACTACACATTTTGACTGTCATTACACTGGATTATATAAAAACAGCACTGTAGATATTAGTTCATCAATATTCAGATGCTCTTGGGAATATCATTCATGATAATAGTATGATTCATTTGTTTAAAGATTTGATTAACAACAACTGTTAAAATTGGACCAATTTGGTTGTATTGTTGCTATGCCTTTCACAGAATTAGCTGAAGTTCATCTGTTCACTGGTTCTCATAACTGTTATCTTTTCCTGTCAGACTCTGATAAGAATTTCATTAGAATTGGGACAATGGCACTGTCTGAGACTGAAATATTGCTGAAATCAACATTCAGGACAGCGATTTTAGCTATTGATTCATTTTTGTTTGAATGATTGAAGTAGAGGAGGAATCCACAGATGAATGCTTTATTTTAATATTGTTTAGCATGTTGTGGTACTAAGGTGATACTATGATGAATGAATATAATTTTTTTTTTTTTTTACCGCATTGCAGTAATTCGATTTTTTTTATTTTAATTACGCCAATGGAAATTAGGGATGACAATTTTTAATGACAATCAAGCAGATTTTTATACTGCTGTTTTTATTTATTCTTTTTATTTCTACATCATCACTTAGGCCTATTCTACACAATATTTGTCATGAATACAATGCATAAAAAAATCACGATTGTCCTAAATAGGCTTAATTTTCTTAATGCCTTGAAATAGTGTGGTCCAATCAAAGCACTCACTGTGCTCTCCCAGCAAATAAGGTGCTAAGATCTACAAGATCTTGAACATTGTCTTGACAGATTTTGTGGGTTTCACCCTCATATTTAATGTTGTAGATTGTAAAGGGAGACTTGTAATACTTCTGTTGATTGAATAAAAATATTTCTACACAGTGAGAATGGTACCGTACAAGCTAGATCCTTGCTGAGTTGTCCAAGCTGTCAAATTATGTCTTTATCTCTCATATTTGCTGATAAGGTTTTCTTCTATCTTTGCGTTTAGGATCCCAGCTCAACGCACAACTTGAGGGCTGGTTATCTCAAGCACAATCTACAGTGGGTCCAGCTAGAGCCATAATAGCACCGTATGTGGAGTCAAACCAGACAGACATCTTTTTTGCTTCAGCTTCCGTTGTGTTTTTGTATTCCTAAACAACTGTCTTTTGCAGGCACGCTGGCTACACCTACTGCGGCGCGTGTGCCGCTCACGCCTACAAGCAGGTGGACCCCTCAATCACGTAAGTGTCCCTCCTGTCATCAGAGCTTCTTTAAATTCTCTGGAAGTAGCCGTAATGTTGAGTTTGCCGTGGGGAGAGAGGTAACCGCAGCACTCTCTTATTCATCAGTCGGAGGGTGTTCATTCTCGGCCCCTCTCACCATGTGCCGCTGTCTCGCTGTGCCCTCTCCCCCGCCGAGGTCTACAGAACGCCACTGTATGACCTGAGGATCGACCAGAAGGGTAAGGAATCTCATTTCCTCCCTGCCCAGTCTCAAAACAGAAACCTTGGGAGGATTAAATACGGATTGAAGAGGAATGCACAAAAAAGTGTTCACCCTGATTGTTTTTACTTCTGGCTCATTTGCTCTCAAAATGAGCTTTGCAGAAGTGATTGTTCTGTTTGTAACTCCTCAATGAAAGTCTGTAAGTGGAAACACAAGGGCTTTAAATCCCCCCGTTTCTCTCTCACGCAGTTTACGCTGATCTGTGGAAAACGGGCATGTTTGAGAGGATGAGTCTGCAGACAGACGAAGATGAACACAGCATTGAGATGCACCTGCCTTACACCGCTAAAGCCATGGAGAGGTAACAACCAGACAATGAACATCTTCATCTGGGGCCGTATTCACAAAGAATTTTATCTTACCACTAGGAGTACTCCTAAATCGCACTAAAATATTTTAGCTAGGAGTTTTCTCTTAAAAGTTATTCACAACGCCTTTCAGACCTACTCTTAGTAAGGAAAAATGACAACTCCTAAACTAAGAGTGAGTCTTCGTTGCTATGGATGACGTCAATTCTCATGCACGAGCTTCTTCGCAATGATCACGGTGATTGGTTGACAGGGCCATCATGCGGAACATAACACAGACGCAACAAATCATGGAATTACGACATCTAAATATGTCTGTATCCTACACAAAATAATAATAGTAATGTCACCGAAATGCATATATAATGACATGTTTGTGCAGGTCCCAGTGAAGTGTAATTCTAAAAAGGCAGAGAGAGAGAAAAGTCGTGAATTAAATTAAATCAAGGTAGCCTAATACCCCAATGAAAACCGCCACTTGCCTAATAATGAAAAAACGACACTTGCATTAACACTTGCTTGGTTAATTGACATCCTATTAGGCTAAATAGACTACTTAAAGCAAGGAAATGTTGCTACTATTGAAGTAGCCTAATGTAATAGTTGAATGACGGTGGATGATGAACTCGCCAAAACGGAAAAGAAAGCCCAACTGGACGCAGGATCAGTTAGTGCTGCTGGCTCAGTTGGTGCTGAAAAAAAAAACATAATAAAAGGGAAATTCGGCACTGGGATATCAAGCAAAAGTAAGCGTGAGACATGGGAGACGATTTGTTTGCAAATCAATGCAGCATTCCCGCTTGTGTCGCGGACCCCGGACGACTGCGAGAGGCGGTGGTGTGCGCTACAATCCTTTGTGAATAGGTCTTAGTGAGTTAGGAGTCCTCTCGACTTCTTTTAAGCTGTCCCAGACTGAGGTGCTACTTTTAGGGCTAAAATGCTTCGTGAATTACTCTTAGTGAAAAAAATTAGGAGTCCTAAAGTTAGGAGTGACACGCCCATTATTTTTTGGAGTTGGTCCTAAATTCGCCAGTTTGGAGCTACTTTTAGCCTTAAAGGGGTCATATAATGCCATTTTTGTACAAGCTAATATGATTCTTTAGGGTCTAAATTAAAAGTTTGTAATATACTTTAATTAAAAATTCTCATTAGTATTGTAAGAAAACACTTATTTTACCTGGTCAAAAACAGCTGTTTTCAGCACGCCGTTTCAGTGCATATGCCTTTAAATGATCATGAGCTTTGCTCACCCCGCCTCTCTGTTCTGTGTACACCGTTTGTAACACAATAACACAATAACCATAACGCGTTGTTCAGTATAAACGTGGAATTATGAATTATATTGAGAACGTCATACATAGAAAACATGCCGTAATGTACCCTGACTGAGTGTAAACCTTAGACGCATTCATTGTGAAGCGTGCAGCTAGCGATTTGCAAAGATTAATATATTATTATAAAGTTTAATAAAACGTTTCACTCACTTCCGTTCTTCTGGAGGTTCAGCAGGAACACGAATTTCTGGTACCGATCCTTTTTAGCAAAGCTTCTTAGCAAATCCAGCTTTATACTGACCCTCGTTTATAAAGCAGTCTGGTGTGTGAAATGATTCGCGCAAACATGAAAGCATTGACGTTGCTCGTGGGGAATATTCCCTTCAAAAACAAACTCAGCCACTGCGTCTTCAGCGGTTCGGATTCAGGAACATTAAAATGACTGTGTTCGTTATTACACCCAAGAACAGAACACCACAATCGCTTAGACGCCATTCTGCTCATAGACAGTGCTCCAGCATATCAACAATGACCGCGCCGGTCCGGTCCGCGCCGCGCAGACTATGATTGACAGCTACCTCATGTGCGAGGGCGGGTCTGTGTTGAAACGCTCCCGTCAATCAACAATCGCGGGAGGGGCGTCCGTTTTATTGACGTCACAAAAACGAACGGCTTGATTTGAGACAGGGGAAAACATATAAGGAGATTAAAACAAAACCACTGGATGGATTTTTATCATTATATGATGTTTGTGTACAGGCACTGCCAACACACATTTCAGTACAATCAACTTGTAAAAGTGCATGTACCATTATATGACCCCTTTAAAATTCTTTGTGAATACGGCCCCTGGACCGTTAAAGGAACAGTTCATCCAAAACAGAAAATTCTGTCATCATTTAGTCACCCTGATGACAAACCTGTATGCATTTCTTCTGTGGAACACGAAGTCACTGGTGTTTCAGTGTGTTGTTTTGAAACCTATTGACTAGGGTTGTGCCGATGGACGATATCACGATGGAGAGCCACCATCGTGATGCCATGCCCCCCACCCAGACACACACTAATCTTAGTCTCTAAACTTTGCAGGGATTGCTCTGTAAATTAAATTGAGAATATAACTAATGCATATGCATGCTATTTTAAATACTGTAGTCTATCCCGGTACAGGAGCAGCACACGCTATAGTGCTTTCACATATGCTGCGTTTACAGTGCGCAACTGATCCGCGGCTGTACCACAAACACATTTACTCACTATCGGTATTTCAAATCCAGAAGTTATCAGCAACTTTTATTTAAAAAAAGTTTTGTCAGCATTGCGATTCTCTTTGTACACATATACACTCACCGGCCACTTTATTAGGTACCCCATGCTAGTAACGGGTTGGACCCCCTTTTGCCTTCAGAACTGCCTCAATTCTTCGTGGCATAGATTCAACAAGGTGCTGGAAGCATTCCTCAGGGAGTTTGGTCCATATTGACATGATGGCATCACACAGTTGCCGCAGATTTGTCGGCTGCACATCCATGATGCGAATCTCCCGTTCCACCACATCCCAAAGATGCTCTATTGGGTTGAGATCTGGTGACTGTGGAGGCCATTTTAGTACAGTGAACTCATTGTCATGTTCAAGAAACCAATTTGAAATGATTAGAGCTTTGTGACATGGTGGAAGTAGCCATCAGAGGATGGGTACATGGTGGCCATAAAGGGATGGACATGGTCAGAAACAATGCTCAGGTAGGCCGTGGCATTTAAACGATGCCCAATTGGCACTAAGGGGCCTAAAGTGTGCCAGGAAAACATCCCCCACACCATTACACCACCACCACCAGCCTGCACAGTGGTAACAAGGCATGATGGTTCCATGTTCTCATTCTGTTTACGCCAAATTCTGACTCTACCATCTGAATGTCTCAACAGAAATCGAGACTCATCAGACCAGGCAACATTTTTCCAGTCTTCAACTGTTCAATTTTGGTGAGCTCTTGCAAATTGTAGCCTCTTTTTCCTATTTGTAGTGGAGATGAGTGGTACCCGGTGGAGTCTTCTGCTGTTGTAGCCCATCCGCCTCAAGGTTGTGCGTGTTGTGGCTTCACAAATGCTTTGCTGCATACCTCGGTTGTAACGAGTGGTTATTTCAGTCACTGTTGCCCTTCTATCAGCTCGAACCAGTCTGGCCATTCTCCTCTGACCTCTGGCATCAACAAGGCATTTCCGCCCACAGAACTGCCGCTCACTGGATGTTTTTTCTTTTTCGGACCATTCTCTGTAAACCCTAGAGATGGTTGTGCGTGAAAATCCCAGTAGATTAGCAGTTTCTGAAATACTCAGACCAGCCCTTCTGGCACCAACAATCATGCCACGTTCAAAGTCACTCAAATCAACTTTCTTCCCCATACTGATGCTCGGTTTGAACTGCAGGAGATTGTCTTGACCATGTCTACATGCCTAAATGCACTGAGTTGCCGCCATGTGATTGGCTGCTTAGAAATTAAGTGTTAACGAGCAGTTGGACAGGTGTACCTAATAAAGTGGCCGGTGAGTGTACACTCTTTAATAGACGTATTCACGTTTAAACACAATTTAAACAACGTATTATTCAATGCATCACTTCTATATAGATTATATATTAAGTTGCTCAAGCAAGTGGTCAAATATTTAACCATGTACTTGTATTAAAATCGCAAACATTTTAAATTAAAACTTAAAATTGACAAAAACAGCAGACTCATACCTTTTCTTTTGCATAATTTAAATCTTTATACAATAAATCTTGCATGTCACAAAGAACTTGTTTTTTCATCTCCACGAATGAGACTAGTGTCGTTCATATTATGTCCTTGTTAAAGGAAATTGTAGTTTTCCTTGCTTTACCCCAGTCTTAAAGTAAAAAGATGACTGTGAAAAATAGTAGTATTTAATTAAATGCATTTATGGTGAGATAACTACATTTTATTTAATTAAATGCATTTATGATGAAATTCATTGTCATGTCAATCTGTGTTCATTTTGACCACGAACCATGGCCTATTACTTTAATTCAGCGCGTGGAGCACGGCAAAAATAGACTCGGTGCGTAAGCGATCTCTGCACTGCTCCTGGAACGGATCGCCGGGCCGCATCCGCGTGCAGTGTGAAATACCGTGTCAGGCTACACAAATATTGATCTTGACATTGTCTTACACTGTACATTTAACTTAAAATATTTAATTTTGTACAAGAAAACAGCCCGTATTAATGAATTATTAGTAGCCTATTGTAGTTTCTCAGGAAATCTTGCTCATTGTCAACTACCAATTTAGGGGACATCGCCCAACCCTACTATTGACTTTAAATTTATGGATAAAAGCAGTTGAAACATTCTTCGAAATATATTCTTTTGTGTTCCACCGAAGACAGTCAGTCATACAGGCTTGGAACAACATGAACTATCCCTTGAATACATCAGATTCTGCGAAGAATTGTTACATTTGAATATATATATATATATTTCTTGTTTGCCCTAAATTTTTCCCAGAAGTTGTTTCACTCAGATATACCTCACAATAGGCAAGGAAAGACTATCGCAATTTCCATTTCATGCTGATTTTAAGTGACTGAACGGCAGTGGGTGGGAGCTATGATGCGATGATTTATTACTATTCACTGATGTCTTGCTTTAGAGGCAGTCATATGCAAATGTGTATCGTCTTTGGAGCTTGATTACATAAATTCTTTTTTTATATATATAATGAGGATGATGTTTTAAATTATAAAAAACCTGCAGGATGCTTTAATGGTACAAAGACCTCGTCTTATATGTCAAACGATCAAAGAATATTTGATTTCTCGTGTCATGAACGCTTTACACTTTTTAGTAGTGTATATAACTTTGATCACATTTTAGATTAGGGTCCAATACTCAATATTAACTCAATAAACTCCTATTTACTGTTTATTAATAGTTAGGAAGGTAGTTGTTAAGATTAGGTATTGGGTAGAATTAAGAGATGTAGAATATGGTCATGCAGAATAAGGCATTAATATGTGATTTATTAGTACTAATAAACAGCCAATATCCTAGTAATATGCATGCTAATAAGCAACTAGTTAATAGTGAGAATTGGACCCCAAACTAAAGTGTTTTACCATAACTTTTGTCTGGATAGAAATGTAAAATGTAAGTGATTTCTTTGAAGGAACCAAGAATATTAGTGGTACTGGACATATTCACATATTTAACATCATCATCGTTTTTATAAAACTACACAAGTCTCACCCTTTGCTTTTTAAAGGGTTAGTTCACCCAAAAATGAAAATTCTGTCAATATTTACTCACCCTCATGTTGTTCCAACCCCGTAAGACCTTCGTTCATCTTCGGAACACGAATTAAGATATTTTTGATGAAATCTGACAGCTGGATCACTCCTCCATACTAGTCCATAGGCTTCTTCAGGGATTGAACTTGTCGGCCTCGAAAAGTTATTAAAGACATCGTTAAAATAGTCCAAGTGACTACAGTGGCTCAATCTTAAGTTGATCAAGCGACGAGAATACTTTTTGTGCGCAAAAACAAACAAAAATAACGACTTTATTTCAACTATTCATGTCCTTCTCTTTGGGCCTCTAGTCAGTTAACGTAGTGTGATTCCGTAGAGCTACGTCACACGTAGGCTCACTATTGGCCGACGCTGGTCATGTGCGTGATGCGTGTGACGTACAACAACAGAAGCGTACGCTATTACACTAGTGAACTGACTCGAGGCCCACAGAGAAGGAAATGAATAGTTGAAATAAAGTCGTTATTTTTGTTTGTTTTTGCGCACAAAAAGTATTCTCGTCGCTTGATAAACTTAAGATTGAGCCACTGTAGTCATTTGGACTATTTTAACGATGTCTTTAATAACTTTTCGAGGCCGGCAAGTTCAATCCCTGAAGAAGCCTATGGAGGAGTGATCCAGCTGTCAGATTTCATCAAAAATATCTTAATTCGTGTTCCGAAGATGAACGAAGGTCTTACGGGGTTGGAACAACATGAGGGTGAGTAATTACTGACAGAATTTTCATTTTTGGGTGAACTAACCCTTTAACATTGTGTCAATGTTGCATTCTAGCAAAATGCGTGATATTTGATATAGTTTTCTGTGGTTTCCTCAATGTACCTGGTTTTTACATTTGGCAAGTATCTATCAAGTTTTCACCTCATCTCTATGCAGAAGCCATGAGCAGCATTATTGACCAATAGTCCCACTCTAATGCTCATTCATCTATGCCAGATCCACTAATTATGTTGTCAGGATCTGTTTACCTAGTGCTGTGCCTCCTAATTAGTTTGCAGTGATGGATGTTCTGTTATTTTTTTAAAACCTTTTTTTATTAGTATTAATGCAGAAGCCACCAACCACTTCTGTTATGCCATTAAAACATTACAGTATGTGGGCATAGGACAGTTAACATCCCCTCAATTTGTTTGATTAGACATTTGGGTATTTTTTTTCCAAGCAGAGCAATTAGTTGCTGAGCAACTGTAATATGTAAAAAAAAAAATCCTTCACATTACACTCTCACCTTAGAAATTTGGGTAACTGAAAACCCTTGCAGAGCTATTGATTTGGCATGGCCACTGTTTTAATGAGTGATGCAAAACTCATTGGAAAATGAATTTGAATAAACATGCAAATGTCAAATCTCCATCTGGGATTTGACAAATGATTCCCTGCTGTGCTTTGTTTCTCATAAACAGCCGCAAAGATGAATTCAGCATTGTTCCTGTGCTGGTGGGAGCTCTGAGTGAATCTAAAGAGCAGGAATATGGCAAGCTGCTAAGCAAATACCTGGCTGACCCCTCCAATCTCTTCATCATCTCCTCTGACTTTTGCCACTGGGGTTTGTGTCCACTCACACACTTTAATTTTTCAACTGTCAAAAAACGGAAACTAGTCAATATCAATTGCAGTCAGTAATCTGTGAAGAATTTCCTGTTAGTTGAAATGAGATGTACTGCTGACAAATGCTTGTCAGCAGTAAATCTACCAGGGTTTGCACCGACTAGTCATTTAGTTCTGGCACAGGTCAGCGCATTGGATCTATTATTAATTATTTGGTAGTTCTCGTGTGCGTGTACCAATTTTTGGTAACACTTCAGTTTAGGGTCCAATTCTCACTATTAACTAGTTGGTTATTAGCATGCATATCACTAGGATATTGGCTGTTTATTAGTACTTATAAAGCACATATTAATGCCTTATCCTCCATGACCATATTCTACATCCCTTAATCCTACCCAATACCTACACTTAACTAGCTTACTAACTATTAATAAGCAGTAATTAGGAGTTTATTGAGGCAAACGTCATAGTTAATAGTTAGTTAATAGTGAGAATTAGACCCTAATCTAAAGTGTGACCCAATATATTTTGTGAAAAACACACCAATTTTATTGCAACATGCATGTAACAGTAACATATGTGTATATTTATGCATATAATACGAAAAGCAGCACTTAACACAACCTTTATACAATTGCCAATTATTATATATAATATTCCAAATTTATATATATGTATATATTTATTATATATTCCAATAATCATAAAAGTGGTGAGTGAAGGCATGATATTAGTTTGGTATAGCAAACTGCCCTAAATCAAGTGTCGCTCAAATGAATGATAACGAAAGCAGCATGTAATCTGTTAAGGAAGATATGCACGCTTTCATTTCTCACCCACCTCATCTCGGGAGCACAGACATTCTCTCCACTCTCATTCTCCGTCAATGTGCTGGACTTGCCAGAAACACAAGCTGTCTGCTTCCTACATAGACTTGGCAGCATCCAAACGGAAATAAACCTTGTAACTTAAGTGAGTGTTTTGAAATGCTCTACATAGGTAGGAACTCATACAAATATCCCAGATGGAGATTTTTTTTTTTTTGGTGCCTCCTTTGGTTAAATGATTAATTTGAACTCTTTTCGTCTATTATGCAGGTCAACGTTTCCGTTACACCTACTACGATGAAAGTCAAGGGGAGATCTACAGATCTATCGAGCACCTTGACAAAATGGTAAACCAATTTCTATGCCCTTTCCTTCTGGTACCTCACTTAATGTCTGACATATGAGGTTTACATGCCAGTGGCCCATTCTGCTTTGGGATACACAATGTGCTAATCCTATTGGTGGTTCCAGAAAAAAAAAGGTGAGGAATTTTTCTCCAATCTACAGAGTCAATGTTATGGTTACTTTGACGTGGAAGTCGGTGATTCAAAGACTGACTTTAATACTTTCCACCCATGACAATGTGTCAAATAGCAGATGTTCTTAGCAACCCAAACCTCATTAAAGGCCTACCAACTGGGCAAAGTACTTTTGCCTCATTGAGATCCTATACAAAGATCTCGTTTGATCTGGAGCTCCTTCAAGGAAATATCCATTAATTACTGTTACTGAAAATCCATCTTGCTTTTTGAAAGTTGAATATTTAATATTATGATTTTGTGTTGTACAATTAAACTACAGCAAATGTCTAATGCAAAATATCACATTATTAATGTCAGTAATGAGAATGTTTTGTTGATGTCAGTGAAAATATATGCATATTTATTTATTTTTTTAGGGAATGGGAATTATAGAACAATTGGACCCCATCTCCTTTAGCAATTATTTGAAGAAATATCATAATACTATTTGTGGTCGCCATCCCATCGGCGTTCTTCTAAATGTAAGTACCTAATGAATGATTCATATGAATTTCCCCCGGGACATTTTATTTAGCAAACTCAATAAAGCAGAAGCAAAATAACGTGAATAATGGCTAGTCCGTAAGCATGGTAATTAGTCTAGCACTTAACAGTCGCAGAGCTTTCATTAATGTCTTTTTTCCCCCTCCAACTAATGTCTTGCCAGCTTTCTAGTCTTTCATCGTGAAGCTTTTAAGATTACCGTTAAGGATCTCTTTAGTGTTAACTCTCCAATGATTCTCCTCACTCCACCAGGCCGTGGCGGAACTGAAAAAGAACGGCATAGACATGAACTTCTCTTTCCTGAACTACGCACAGTCGAGCCAGTGCCGAAGCTGGTCCGACAGCTCAGTGAGTTACGCTGCTGGAGCTCTCATCGTTCATTGAGGTGAACTCTCCAAGGAGCCACGGAGCCTCCTAGAAGACCCCATCCCTTCCCACCCGTCCTGTTCCTGACCACATATCCCCATCCCTTCCCACCTCTTCTTATAGGAAGGACATGCAAAGCTTGTCCCAGATGGGAATCCTCACACACATCCCGAATCCAGATGTAACGTTAGATACTAACCTCTTCTTCCTACAGCTTTCCCTGTACCCTGTTTTCCACGTGAGGCAACCCGGATGATGCTCTAGCTTGAAGTTTTTTTGGGGTGTTGCAAGGTCAGATGTTTGGTTGGTTTTTTTGTTGTTGTTTGTTGGGGGTCTTAATGAGGCAGAATCGGCTTTTGACCCTCCGAGGACTTTAGGTATCCAACGAGCCCTTGTGTAATTTAAAAGCAAGACACACTTAAAGTTTAAATAAAGTAAAAAATAAAACCATAGACATTTCACTCTTTTTGCAAGTCTGCATAATCTACGTGATAAGTGACATGTCTCACCTAATGATAAATCATTTGAAAAAGGAAGTTGACAGACTGCAACATGCCCATGTACACCCTGAGAACTGCATTGGTCCTGTTGTAGTTTTTAAAGGGCTACACAATACCCACTAACCCTCCACTGTACTGGTTATACCAAAAAAAAAAAAAAGTTTTTCTTTCATTTAATCTTTATTGTAGTCAAATTAAAGTCTTTTTTTCTGATTCTTATATTTTGTTCTGTTTTATTTTTCCTTTGTGATTTACCATTATTTAGTTGTCTAGTTTTACTATGTGTTTGATATATAATCTCAAACTGTGTGGAAACATTTAGTAGTATATGAAGTCTACAGAAGTGCAGTACATGTTTGATTTAATGCTGGTTCAGTTTCAGACTGCCTCAAAGTAGCCATGCTTTCCCCATCAACCCTGAAGCTTTTAAATGGTATTTTTGGGGTTATTCTTAAGCAGTTTGATTTTCTCATGCAAGTTAGCAGCCATGTTTAACAGCTGACTAGTAGTTAGTGATGCACACCCGTACAAGGAACTGCCAGAAGGGAATTTTCTGAACGGCGTAGGCATTTTTGTCTTGCTTTCCTCTTTAACGCGTCTATTCCAGGCCTCCCAAAGAGCACAATGCAGCAAGAATTTTCCTGGGTAACCATCGGAAGGAAAACCGCAAGGCTCCTATACATCCCCACCAAGGTTCGAATGTCTCAAACCGGATCCTCAAAACAGAAAACAGACAAAGCATGTCATACCATGCAGATGTGCCTTGGGTCAGTGTTAAACATGAATTTTTTTTTTTTTTTTTTTTGTCCTTCACCTATACTTCATTTAGTCTGTCTATTAAATCAGTTTTCACTGTTTTTAAAGTAGGGGAAAGAGAATCATTAGCTTCACCCATCACAACACCTGTTCTAGTACTGTTCAAATATGTTATGTTAGTGCCGTTTATTATTATTCTAACAATTATTGTGGAGAAAATAACAGTTCACATGTTGTCAAATCTATGTCAAAAATGAATCGAAGTGCTCCTTAGCGGAGTCATTTTTGAATCTCAGGTTACATTGAAGCATTGCAGAATTCTCGCCAGATATGACAAGGGTCATGGCTGATGTTGCAAAGAAACAATAAAGTGTAATGACAAAAGTTACTATGCTGTGGTGTTTCTTTTACTCGTCTTAGTGTTTGTGATTCCTTTTGGTGTTTGTGACATGTTTACAAGCAGTTTGTTATTAAAGTGAGAGCTGGGCAAGATTCATTTAAGATGCCATATATTATAACGTGAGTTATGTGCTTCTCTCCCAAGATGTAGTCTCTCTGTCTTTCCTTTCCAATCGAAAGTTAGCGGAATCTTGGGTGTGTGAGTTTAAACCACATTTTACTCTGAAGTAAGTGAAATAATGAATGTATTTGTGGCCAGTAAAGCAATCATTAACATGTTACACAGCACATCTGCTATGGCTACCATTTGAAATTTGCATTCGTTTTTTTTTTTTTGCAACACCTCTAAATGTAACCATGTTTAACTACTCTTGACACTTGCAGAACATAATGACTCACTGCTGTTCAAAAGTTGGAGTCGGTAAGATTTTTTTTAAAAGAAATTGATACTTTTTTTCATCAAGGACATAATAAATTGATCAAAAGTAAAGACATTTATAAAGTTAAGAAAGATATTTAGTTTCAAATAAGTTCTTTGGAACATTATATTCATCAAAGAACCATTAAGAAAAACATAAGTTTCCACCAAAATATAATGCAGCACAGATGTTTACATAATACTTATAAATGTTTCTTGAGCAGCAGATCAGCATATTAGAATGATTTCTGAAGTATCAGGTGAAACTGCAGACTGGAGTAATGATGCTGAAAGTTCAGCTTTGCAATCAGGAATAAATGACATTGTAAAATGTATTTAAATAAAAAGCAGGAGTAATATTTCAGAATATTACTGTTTCTACAGTATTGTCAAAACAGTTTTTTTTTTAAATATTAGAAACATTTGAATGGCCTTAAATAAATAAAAGTGGACTCACATGAAAAACCTTTTCCTTAATTGCTTTTGCAGACTAACTTTTATATTGAAAACAGACCTGCCTTGCTTCGCAGCCTCACATCACATTATTGTGGATTTATTTTAAATGGGAAGAGCACACGCAGTGTAGTGCATCTGCATGGCAGACCAGTTTACCTTTTAATTTTGTGTGCTATGCAGCTAAATTCCTGTGGGACGAGAACTTCCTGTTTATTTTTCTTTTTTTTTTTCTTTAGATAGATGTTGACTGCTTAGATATAGTTTAATACCATTAAACAATCTCAGGTTCCCAGGCAGGAGCTGAGGAAATTAAAACAATTCAAGAAAATCTGAATCTGCATGTGATTTGTCAATTCTCTGTCTTGAAACAGACAGAAGTAGGCTACAAAGAAAAGATGTTCAAAGTTTTCACTGACCAACTTAATTGTATTTTGGAAATATAAACAAAAGATGGCTGGGACACACTCCAAAAAAGTTGGGAGAGTTCAACTTTTTAATCATTTGGGAATTGAGGATACTAATTGTTGCAGTTTTGCAAGTGGAATATTTACCCAATCGCGTGCCAGATACAAGACAGCTGCTCAACAGTCCGTGGACGTCGTCTGATTCTCCTTTTCACGATGGGACATACATTTTCAATAAGAGACAGATCTGGACTGCAGGCAGACAGCGGTTGACGTGTGTTTAAGTGACAACAGTTTTCCAAAGTACACCCGAGCCCACGTGGCTATTTTTAACACTAGCATGATGGTTTCTCAATGACATCTGAGGGCTCAAAGGGTCACGCACATTAACCCTCGTGCACTGTTCGATTTCTGTGTACACCCTTTATGGAGCGGGTCAAATTGACCCTAATTGGATTCAATATAATTCCTCAAAAATCACACTAACAAAGATTCAGGTACAAACTGTAAACTTTTAATATCAACATTTGTCCATTTTTTAAAACCGTTTTGTTTTGACAGAATTTGAAAATAAACAGTAGGCCTACCTTTTTTTGCATATACATTTTTTTTTTTACGTTTTCATTTATTTATTTTTACATTTTAGGCTTAGAACATCAACTGAACAATTAAATTTGGCTGTATAATGAAAATAATGTTTGAAAATCCTACATAAAAGGTTTGGTTAAAAGCTAGGTATTTCAGATATCTTGAATATAGAAACGAGAGCTTATTTTACTATCTGTGTCTGACAAAGATTTTCATCTGTAATTGGCAATTAATTCTGAGCACCGTGATTTAGCTTTTTCAAGTGTGTTTGGTTAGGGTTAGAGCACTTTTAGATACACTTGCACTTTAGAACTGGAGTTGAAGTGTCCTTACATACAATAAATAAATGTTTTTATTTTGTGTCTGTACAGTTGCTTTTGAATCGCTGCCTATGAGGGTCAAATTGACCCGCGAACATAATAGTTTATTTGTTTGTATATGTCAAAACACATCAGCATGTTGAAACTTTGTTCATGATGATAAATGAGAAAAAGTCACAAACTATCAAGAAAAAAAATCATAGGTTAACCAGTATTTCCAACAACTAGAAAATCTAAACGGGTCAAATTGACCCGCAACATACAGTAACACACACAAAAAAAAAATCAATAAAAAACAAGTTTTCTTGCCTTTCCCTACACGGACTGAGATTTCTTTTATTATGTTACATGCAATACCTATACTTTGCAATCTTGCATGATTGAGAAATGTGATTTTTGTATTGTTTGACAATTCTCTCATGTAATATGGCACAAAGTGGTGAGGTTGGTGAGCCATGACCCATCTTTGCTCGCAAAGACCAAGATTCTCCTTTTATACCCAATCACGATACCCTCACCTATTACCAGTTCACCTGCTATGTGGACTGTTTCAAAAGAATTTAACTTGAATATTCTGTAATGTTTTCACTTCATGCATCTGTCCCAACTTTTTTGGAGTGTGTTGCAGCCATTAAATTCAAAATTGGTTTATATTTACAAAATACATTGAAATAAAATATATATTTTTTGTACTTTTGTCAGTTAAGTAAAGGTTCAAGAGAATTAACAAATCACAGATTCATGATTTTACTGTATTTTACAAATTTTCTGGAATTGGGGCTATAAATTGTTGGCAAACTAGCATGAAAGATGTCTTTAATATGGTGGTAGTTATGGGTATACCCTGGAGAAAAAAAAATTATGCTAAGTATACTTGCCAGACTAATTAAGTGTGTTAATGATTAGTTAACTTAAGTGTGCTATTTTGAAACAATTCATTTTGTACTAAGTATATTTTAGTTGTAGTTAAATTGTAGTAAAGCATAACTTTAAGTGTATTTATTATACTTTTGAGTAATAAATTGGACCAACTTCAAGTATACTTAGTATGCCATGTGTAGGGACTTATTACATGCTTGATTAGTGATATTAAAGTGTACTTTATTTGTGTTACAAGTACATTACAAATTCATTACGAGTGTCTTCATTTTATAAAGATATTTTTGGCGTTATCGCCTTTTATTGGGATAGGAGTAGGACAGTCGCTACACAGGAAGTGAGGTGGCAGATGGGAGAGAGAGAGAGAGAGAGAGAGAGGAGGGACGGGATCAGGAAAGGTCCACGAGCCGAGACTCGAACTCGGGTCTCCCGAAGCACATGTCGGTGCACTTGCCCACGAGGCTTTCGTGGTGTGTTATAGTTGAGTAAAAAGTGCTCATTAATACCTTTGGCTTATTCCAAATACTTTGTCTTCAATAACAAATGTACATTATTAGACAAATAAAACTTAGCTATACTTTGTACAAAATACTATTGTATATACTATAATGTATTTTGAAAGTATACTTTCAATGCATTGTTAGAATGATCATTTCCAGCACACAGTTTAAATATACCTAAAATATATTTTTAATAAAGTGCAAATAAATACACCTTTAAAAACATAAACTGAATTTTCACTTCAAATATATTTTTACTAAAGTGCAATTATTTTAAAGTGTGTTAAAAGTTGTATTGAGAAAATAGGTTAAATCATGATGCTAATACTTTCACTAGGGTAAAGATACACTGTAAAAAAAAGATTGTAATTTATCTGTAAAAGACCAAAAATGCGACAGTAAAAACCTGTTAATTGGTTAAAAGTAAGTTCCCATAAAAATAAATATTTATTTTTAATATACATTCTCAGAAGTCCTTGCATGTGTGACACTTCACATTTTTTTGGTGTTCAATTTTATTAATTATGGTTCTTCTTAGTTTTTTGTTTTCAGTTATGTACATTAGAGTTTTATGGTACATCTTATGTTTTTAAATGAATTATTGTATTGTCATGTACAGTATGTTACCACGATGGTGTTTAGCATTTGTGTGCATGACACTTTTGATATATTAGTATTTACCTAAGCTTGGTGGAAAAGCTATTTGTGATTTATTTGTGATTATACGATTCATCACGTGTCTTTCACTTTACCACACCAGTGTTATTACCATGTTTTAAGTTTTAAACTGTAAAATGTACAGGTTGTTCTGCATGTTTACATTTTCACTGTATTTCGACTGAATTATTCTGGCAAGCAAACAGTTTTTATTTTCTGTAAAAAAACCCAGCTTTTTTTCAGGATTAGGAAGTAAAAGCTTTAAAGGCAAACATCTACAGAGTCTGGTGTGTTGTGCAATGTCATTCACCTGTACCTTCACAGCTCACACAATTGTGGTTTTCACTTTTTGCACTGGTTAGAGTTAAAATTCAAATCATTTTTCCCCATTTTCTCTGACCATTCTTTGAAATAGGATTTGTGAGGTGACGGTGGTTCCCATTAATTGGCCAAGCTCAACAAATATCACTTCATCAATCTGTTCTCGCTGTTTAGCAGTGTCGACATTTCAAATCTCCTGAGCCGTTTCAGGTCGCACTGAACGTCAGGGCGAGGAGAACGTTGTTGAGAATTAGTTTGGACACAGGTGTCAGCTGTGGTGACTGCAAGTTTCTCCTCCAGAAATGACTTCAGTGTTGATCTCCAGCTTACATCATGCTCTGAAAAACAAAATTAAGAACTTGTTCAAAGTTAATTGGGTGAATCTGCTCTGATTTTTATTGTCTTTACTTTCATTTTTGCAGAGCAGGTAAATATGTTTTTGTAAGTCAACATTAAACAAAATTAAGTTGCTTAATGTGCACTGTTCATTTTTTAATTAAATGAATGCTAAAAGGTTATTTTAAGATCAATTTAGTCAGGCTGTATATTGTATTATTTTAAGTGTTTCCTTGGAAACATGATTTAAAAGACTTGGATTTGTTGCGCGCCCTGTTGTTTTAAGTGACTTTTATTGAGTGACTGCTTTACACTGGGGACATAAACACTGAAAGGTTATTGGTAATATGGATAAATGGTGCGAGAGGAAACACTCAGGCTTACTTCCTACTGTTTCATGTAGTTCTCTACATACACAGAATCCACGCATTAATCACCATTCTCAGCAGGTACTCCCTTAATTACAGGAAACAACCTGTTGCGAGCTAAAGAGGTTTTCTGAAAGTGAACTGAATTCATACGTTAACAGGCTCAGGGCATGATCTAAAAAAAAATCTGCAATTTTATGGAAATACTCCTGGCTTATGTAAAAATGAAAGATGCTAGTCACTGTTTGGGGTTTTTCAGATCACTATTAAATAATATAATGTAAATATTTAAATGTGAAGTTCCTTTAGTGCACATTTGAGGCACCTTCAAAAGATGCCCAGAGGTTCTCTGAATGGTTTAGCCAGAGTAAAAATGTAAGGAAACCTAAATGGTGCCTCAAGCATCTTTTAATTTTTACAGTCTGAGAGGAGATATTGAAAAGTATTAATATGCCAAAACAATATGTTTGGGGGGTCAAGTATTTCATTTACCTCACTTGAACTGTAAACACTCAACTCAAAATAATGAATTGGTTCAGGATAACTTAAATTAAAATAATTAGTTCAATCAAATGAACTTTTATAAGTATTTAGAACTTTCTTTTTCTTTTGAGTTCACAAAACTGACACATTTTACTTAATCTGAACCTGTTTCTTTTAATTTAGACAAACTTAAATTTAACTGAAATTGGGCTGGGATTTCTATTTCCCAGCATGCTGTGTCATGACACTCGAAGGGGAGAATAAATGCTAAAATTAAGTGCTATATGATGAACAGTTGTTCATTGTTATTTCATGTTAACTAATGTAGTTAACTAATGTTAACAAATGAAACCTTATTGTAAAGTGTTACCGTTTTTTGTGCAAGACCAATGTTAAGTGGGAGATTTAGTAGTGTTTATTGTTTAGCTAATTTAGAAGAGTTTCTGCTATGTTTTTTTTTTTTTGTAGGGTTACCATCATGGTGAAGAGTGGAGCATGAGCTTGGTTTGAGAACAATCTTCTATATTGTTGTACTTATTGCTATGCTATGCTAATGCTATCAAAGCATTGTGTTACATCCTTCTGAACACAAAATACGCGTGATTAACAACAACATGGTCTTCTTACTGATGAAAGAAAAACAATAGCCAAGCCTCACCTACAAGCGAGTGTTTTGATACCATTCCATCACATGAAAACCGATGCTTCCCACCAGTGCATAAGTGGAAAAATATCTCGCAATATGTTCAAAAAGGAAATCTGTTTGAAAAAGGCAATCTCACATTTCAGCAGGGTGCATACTGTCGCATGATCAGGATTCGGCTCTCCCTCTGCTTTTGGGGAGGAGCTGCTCTGAGACGCTGTGTTTGCAGAGCTCTGGTGAGGGGTTAAGAGGGGAGATACAACATTAGGCTCAAACCTGGTCTGGACTTGGACAGATACTCAACCTCCATGCAGTGCCAGGAGCTCCTCGTCCAGGGCCTGAGTTTGGGGATGATCCTGGGTGGGGTAATGCACTTTATATGTCTCAGGAAATCTCACGCTGCCTATGGCCGCTACGTGGACACCTCGGGCAACTCCATGATGGTGCCCGCAAGGCTAGCCTGGTTCCTCCAGGAGCTTCCCGCTCTCTTGGTGCCCCTGCTTTTGATGCTGATCACGGATGGAAATCCCAGCACTGGGAAACACCTGATGCTCTGGACCTTCTGCTTGCATTACTTCCAAAGGTAAGCTGTGTGCCTGATGGGACAAACATTTTTACAAACAATTTTACAACATTAATGAAAGATCACTAGTATAAAATGCAGATATTATAGGTGACTGCATATAAATCTTAGCAAATTTATAATGTCATTGGCATGTCGTCAGAGAGATTTTGCTTTTTTCACTTCACTTTTTTTTTTTTGGTATATGCAAAAGTTCAGTTACGCCATTTCACAAACCTGTATGTATTAACTCACCCAGAACAAATTAGGGAAAAATAACCCTTAATCCGAAGACAAAAGGGAACGGACTGGGTGGAATGTTCTGGATTCCTGCTTCTTTAACAATCATGCTGTGCTGACAATTATGAAGGCTGCGGAAATGTAACATAATATTTGATTTGAGTAATTAACTGAATCAAAAGCAGGTGAATGACGTGAGCAATGCTTAATGCACTATAGGCAGATGACCTATCATACAAATAACATTCTGGTTTCCAGGAGCTGCATCTACTCTCTGCTGACCAAAGGGCGGCCGTATCCGTTCAACATCATGCTGTTAGGGATGGTGTTTTGCTCTATTAATGGCTTCCTGCAGGCACACTATCTGCTGCATTGTGCTACATATAACACCACATGGTTTTCTGATGCCTGTTTGCTAGCCGGTAATACTCGTTTACTGAAATAATTATAATAAAATTGTGTGCTTATCAAAATTATATATATATATCAATATTTTTTGCTTATTGTATTATCATTAATTAAAAAAAATTAAAAAATACTTCAGATAAATTGCTTGTTAATATTTATATAAAATTGTACGTTTATTAAACAAATTTTTAAACTGTATTTCTCTAGGCCTGATCATATTTTTCATAGGAATGGGAGTCAATATTCACAGTGACCACATTCTTCGCAGCCTGAGAAAACCTGGAGAAATTACCTATAAAATCCCGAGAGGTATTTGAGGGTCTTTTTAATGTTAGCAACACTCATCATTCACTGTCTTTATTTCTGTCTCTGTAAGCAAACTGCAATTAGCTTCACTGAATGAATGCTGAAGTGATTTATGTGTTTATTTTATCTGCAGGCGGCTTATTTGAGTACGTGTCTGGTGCAAATTTCTTTGGGGAGATAGTACAGTGGCTGGGCTACGCGGTTGCTACGTGGTCCTTACCCACATTTGCTTTTGCTTTTTTCACAATTTGCTTCATTGGCCCAAGAGCCTATCACCATCACAGGTAAGTAAACCAAAATTCACAAATCACTCACAGAATTATTAAACTGTACGTCTTCAACATGATTTCAATGGTATTTGATTGATTTAGAAAACTACATGTGGTTTCTCTAATGTGTTCCAGGTTCTATCATGAGAAGTTCAAAGATTTCCCCAGATCAAGAAGATCTCTCATACCCTTCATCTTCTGAGCAGACAAATGTAGTTGCGTTCTGACAGAAATAAATAATTCATCTTTTTAATTGCTACAGTGTACACCTGTCCTTTTGGTTTGTTTTCATTGCCTGATTTAGCATACAGTAAGTGGGAATTATTGGCACAAATAGGAACATTTATGACTTGAATATGTTACCAGATTGTGTGTAATGGTTTTGACTTCCTCTATGATAAAGGATTTATTATATAAAAAGGACACTTTACTACAACTTTCTCTTTTTTATTATTTCTACAGTTTGTTATTGCAGTTATTTGTGTGTTACTGTGTGTAACTTTTAGATTGCTTCCTCTATTCCAGCTTAATATGTAGAGACAACTGTAAGTTGGTTGATTTCCAGAAAAAAGTGTAAACTGTATGACTCTGTGGTGCTATTAAAACATGAACATCTCAGCCATTCAAGACAATTGCATGATTTTGTGTTTATAGGATTATCTGTTTGCTGAACAATGACATGTTTGGTGTTTACACCAATTGTTGATTGCTAACAATCATAATTTTGGTGATGCTATGCATAATTTCACTTCATATTTAAAGAAGAAAATATAATGAACAGAAAAATGAAACCATAAGTGTTTTTTTGATAAAATGCTGTAAATCTAAAGTGGTTTAAGGTACACTATGGCCCTCTGTTGGTTAAACAACAAAACTGCATGCATTTTGCAGAAGAACATTGTTTGGTTGTGCTTCGGCTCTGCATGACTGTGCCAGGACTTTACAGTGAGACATGTTGTATGTGCTACAAAAAAGTAGGTCTGCGCGATGAATACAATTACCACACAGTTTTGCATTTGTGTGAGACAGAGATGCTGGTATGTCTGAAGCGAGTTTGTTGTGTGCTTGTTTGTGTGTTTGGTTAATCTATGATTCTCCAATATTTTACTAGCGGTGGTTGTCAATCACAGGCATGTCTGTTGAAAAGAATGGCCAATCAGAGGTGATAACTGTAGGTTTTCGTGTAAGTGAGCTCAGGCTTGCTTTCTGTAGGCTATATAATCATTTAAAGCTGCATTCCGTAACTTTTTTGGGTTAAAAATGATTTTGAGCAAGTACATAACCAGCCAGTGTTCAAAACTATCTGCTTGCCGTCGCTCGATTTAAAACGGTAAGCTTGTAATAATGTTTTTAATTCCAGTGGTACTGGTGGATTTCCGCGGGAGATTCGAGCATGTCTTTGCGTCATTACATCACATCTGTACACATAAAGAAGGAGTCTCGGCTAGTAGGCTATATTGCGTGTGAGGATGTTGGAGGTGGAGATTTATAGCCTTTTCTCACACTTGATATAATTTAACTTATCAATTTGATGGCGGATCCAGAAAGGTTCAAACGACAATCACCAGTGACAACTGATTCCCCCGTTGTAAAATGCAAAAGACTTCGTTCGGACTTCGGAGTGGCTACAGAAAAAAAGAGACTGCAAAAACAAGGATAAATATCGGAAGGGCATTAAATGTAGTCACGCAATGCTGATGTTGTTAACATTAACAATTTGAGAAGAAAGTATAATTTGCACGGTTTGACGTGATATGATAAGCGATCGTTAGATTTAATCAGCGCGATTTACTGCAATGCTTTTTTCCCCTTAGTTGGTCAGAATAAAAGTGGATGTTACTTACTTGTTCAGATGAAATTTTCCGGTGAAAATTCTTATGTTGGTCATACTTCCAAAAAGAATAATCTGTGATTCTGAATGCCAGTATCGACACCGGCGCGGTGACTGACAGCCGCCCATTCTCCTCAAAACATTGAATTCATCCGCGCTGTGCCGTGCCGAGGCACAACTCACGTAAAGTTGATAATTCTGCGAATAACTGCAATTGCAGATTTCGAACAGAGATGGCGACAAAGAGGAAAAACTACGGACTGCAGCTTTAATAATTTGAAAAAGGTTTTGTTTGCCATGCAGAGGACCAACGCCCACATATACTGCAAACTTTTAGAAGTGACAGAGGCATTTAATACGGGAAAGAATCTGCGAAATTCTTCATTAAACCAAATTGATACGACTGAAAGTGATAAAGTAGCAACAGACGGAAAATGAGCTAATGAGTGGTCCTCTGCAGCTATCTACTGGTTGTAGTGGTACTTTTGTCATTTTCATTTTGAAAGTGTTTGTTTTCCCGTTAAAGAGGCCATCGCGGCTCCCCTGTGTCCGTCCCGCGGATGGAAGTCGAGTTCTCTGCGTTCTAAGCCAAGTAGGACTACACCCCACATCGCCGAGAAGGCACACATTTCGGCTGGACACAAAGCATCTTCCCTTCATACAATGGTGATCCTGCAGGTGTTTCAAACTAGACTCCTGAAGTCCCTGGACGAGGAAGTCCCGGACCTGGAGTCATTTCGCAAGCTGTGCACAGCAGTAGATCTCGCCCAAGGAGTCAGGCGCAGCATGGGCAACCTGGTAGTGCTGCAGCGGCATGTGTTGCTCACGCTCACAGAATTGTGTGACTCAGACAAATCAACGCTGCTTGACGCCCCAGTGAACCCCTAAGGCCTATTTGATGACGCCGTAAGGGTTTTCTCAGAGAAGTTTGCGGAGGCGCAAAAACAGTCTAAAATGATTACCCACTTCCCTCCCAAGCGCGCAATGCTACCCTTCAGGCAAGTTCACGGTCATTTGGAGCAGTGGGCAGCCCTTCCACTCAAAGCATGCTCCATGATCCTGAGCCGCAGATGCGTCAGAGACCAAACAAGAAGTGTTAACTGGAAACTGGCGCAAAGCCAGTTCCCCGCCAGTCCAGGCGCCCAGCGGACCAGAAGAGTTCCTAAAGGTCCAGTTCGGAGGAAGAGAGCGATGTCCGTGGAGGGAGCCAGACTGCCTTCCAAGAGAGCACGATTCTTCTCACCGTTCCCCCTGTGAGTTGCAGTGAGTGCAGAGAAATGTTTGAATGTTGTTTTACCACTGCTAAACACAAAAAGAAACATACCTCAATATCGGAGCTCTTTTCCTCCTCACCACTGGAAGAGTCATTAAAACGTTTGCGTCTCCGATCACCACAGTGGTGTTTCGTTCTTGAATGATCAAGGTTGAGGTCATTTTCAGCGCAGTGGCCAGCCCCTCCGCTCCAAGCATGCTCCATGATCCTGAGCGGACTCACAATTCTGATATCATAAATCCCAATTGCGACTTTAGAAATCACGCAATTGTGAGAAAAAAAAGTCAGAATTGCAAGATGTAAACTCCCAATTGTGAGAAAAAACACCTCAGAATTGTGAGATAAAAAGTCGCAATTATCTTTTAATTTTTTTTATTCCTTGTCAGAAACAAGTTTCTGTATTTAATAGCCAAATCAACAGCAGTAATGCTTATACTGGAAAGGATCTGAAATCAAAGACTACACCTAGTGTGGGGAACTACACGTATACAAAACACACTAGTTGTTCTTGCTTGCAATATATAATTTCCTAGAGTAGATAGTTCTATGTAGTAATTTAATCTAGCAGATGTTGTTACCCTTTCAGTCACTGCACTAATTACAGGAACATTACCCCATAAGCTACCAAAGGTACAATGAAGATGACGTAAGCAGGACCTTTTGCCACACCCAAGTACTTCTTAGTAACCACAAAACTTTATTTTGCTTAATTTAAAAGTTTGCAGATTTGGCCGTTTGAATATTTGCAAAAAGTGCAGGTTCACTGACACTAGCAGCATCAAATAAGACTTATAACTCTCTGTGTTCTTCATATTTTGGTTTTGGAGGTAAATGTATATTTAACGTGTACTTTGCCACATGGAGTTATGAAGAAAAATGAAGTCTCGGAAAAATATTTGATTATAAAATATATCAAACCTAGAATCTTTATTTAAGCACAGTTCATTCATCATAATTCAATTGATATCCTTTATTATATATTTTACATCAAGAACAAAATTAGCCATCTCGACCGCCACATTCAAAGCATTGAGCTTGGCAGAAAACGAGTCTAATATTCTGGGCCGATTGTCAGTGTTTTCCAGGAAAACAGGAGACACAGTGTGGCACGCTGTATTTAGTGGGGTCTTCTCCAAGTCGGATCTGTCTTCCACCAGACCACAGCCACAGGTTTGCCTAGCACTGGTTTGGGGGTAGATATCTGGGACCCATCGGTGAGCATATGTCAGGTCAATGAGACAGTCCTGCCCGTCATGCTCTAAGGAAAGAGCCACAGCGTGCAGAGAGCTACAGAATGCCTTGACTGCCATGATAAACTCAGAGTGAGAGACTCCCAGAGCTGCAGCTGTTGTTGTGGCTGTGGACTGATTCTGTAAAGTAAAATGACAAAACATTTAATATAGCAGCAAGCAGAAATTACAGGGCACACACCAATAGAGTCAAAACCTGGAAGACTAATTCACCAGTGGTTCCCTTGACATTTTCCTATGTGTTTATAATGAGGTTTTTCAATTTACGAGTAAAATAAAGTCTGTGGTAAACCTAAGTTGACGATACTTGGACGTTTTGTTTTACAGCGTAAATTACACACATTCTTATCTAGTAACTTGTTAGAAACAAGTCTTTAAAAAAATAAAAAAAACATAACAGCTTTAAAATTCACGTTTTCGATATGGGTGTGTTAAATTTATGTTAGAGTTTTTGAAGAATAGAGAAAGTCTTTGCAATGCATTTCCTAATTATATATTTAATACTCTTGGAGGCATAGACATAGACTTTTTGTTGAAATGCAGTTTCAGGCCAGTTTTCACAGACAAGCCCTGCTAGCATGGAAATTGGTGTATTTAAGCACAATTTTTTTCACAACACAATTATTTCATATTGAATAACAAAGACGTACTATATAAAAACAAATCACTATTCTATCATACTTGGTTCAATGAAGGGATTATATTAGTAAGACAGTTGTTTAATTCCAATGGATATCTGTTATCATATACTGAAGTTCTACAAAAATTTCAATTATCAGTTAAACCAAGAGAGTTTGCTATTGTTCTTGAGGCGATTCCAAAGAGTGTGATGTTACTCTTAAATAACTCTAATTGAGTGGAAATCAACATGGATGATCTTTGTGGTAACATTTTCATTGATGATGCTAATGTTTTAAAACAAAAATGTAGCAATAAGGATATAAGAAATGCTCTTTGTTCTGTGTCTTTTCCTGCAGCAAGATTCTTTTGGTCTGCTTTATTTGGTAATATTTCTTGGGTCAAAGCATGGAAATTGCCAAATAAGTTTTGTGTTAATAACAAAATTAAGGAAGTGTCTTACAAAATACTTCACAGAATTTATCCTGCTAAGCATGTTTTGGAAAGATTTAAGCTTAATATTTCATATACCTGTGAATTTTGTGCACTAGAAAAAGAAACTATTTTGCATACGTTTTTTTGACTATGTACTCAAGATTATTTTGGAAAGATTTAGAAACCTTTAATAGTAGAAAACTGAAGTGTATGATAGAAATGTGTGTATTTGATGTGCTTTTTTATGCAAAGAAAGACAATTTGTAAAGAACAACATTATTATGGAGTTATTTATTTATTTTTGTTGGGAAAATACCACATGAAAAGCAGTGGGCTGGCTCAATGCAAACCAAATTTTTCACATTTTAAAAATGACTTTAAATTATATGTAAATCTTTTGGAACAAACAAAAAAGTGCTGAAAACATGTAATGCTTTGAAAGCACTGAATTTTATGCAAATTTTTTTTTTTTTTTTTTTTTCTGGCAGCTAATGTTAATGTGATAATACGAATATGTAATACCTCTTGTTGGTATTGAATTAATAAAAAAATAAATAAAAAATAAAAGTTGAGCAGATTTGTTTGCTCATAGCTCCCCTAGTGGTCATTTTAAGTAGGTATGAGTAGATTTGCCACTAATTAATAACAAATATTAAACATTAAAATAGGTTAAATTGGCATCTTCTAATTTTGTGAGAACTTGTCTGAATATGAACTGAGCTAGTTTTTGTGAAGATTCATAAAACCTTGTCAAATCTTTGAATAACTTTTGACCAGCATGGCCTCAAAATTAACAAAGAAAAGTGGTAAATGTCTGTACACTCCAAAAAAATGTTATTACAACCAAGAACAATGTTTCAACCAGTTTGGTCTTCATAACGTATTTCATCAGGTTGTAATAATATTTTTTATTTATTTATGTTTGTATGTTCACACCAATTTATCATCTTCTCTCTTTTTTTTTTTGCTAAAAAAAGTAGAATTTAAAAGTAGAATATATTTAATTTCATAATTCACAGTATGACCAGTATGACCAGTATGACTGTATAGGCGATATGACCAAATTTTTATTTCACGATATAGTTATTATTTTATTATTTTATGTCATTTCTGTTATTAAAAATAAGAAAATTACAAACAATAGGACAAATACAATATAACAAAAACATGACTTAAATTAAGTTTTTAAAGTACAATAGATTTATTTAACGTACTAAGAATTACTACAGAAATGTAAAAATCAAATGTAAAAATAAAATATTGCATAGTCTTCATTGTTTGAATTAAATATAAATGTATTCTTTCTTATTAAAGCTAAAACTAAGTTATTCAGTCAAGAGCAGCATGTTATTTTCTCTTTTGTTTGATTCACATTAATGACAGAGCAGCAGGTAGGTATATTAGACTGCTGTCACTTTAAGACCAAACGCACGGGATCCATTATACTGATACACATCCAATTTACACCCAACTGTTTACTTTCACTGGAGACATAACCGGCTGTGTTTACATGAATACTCTACATGATGGGCATTTTGACATTATAGCGTGTGTATTTGACCATTCAAGCACAATAAGACGTGAAATTTGGGATCACATATCGAGAGACGTGGCTTTCTGTGCACGCGTTTACGCTGTGTGTCAGTCAGGGCGAGCATCGCATTCTTTTTTTGGTACTGCTTATTGTGCTTAACACTTTTTAACATCGATGCACGATCTGAGAGAGGCATGTATATTTACATACTGCAATATAGCTAAATCTCTAACAACAGACATTTTATACCGTGGTAACGATATACATCGTCATTCCGCCCAGCCCTAATTCACAGTCAAGAAATGCATAATCCATGCATCTTTTCATAACATTTTGACTAGTAAAACTTAGTCATCTAGTAATTAATATTGTAGAAATGCAACTGAATGTGATGTGTAACTCAGTGGAACAGAATACCATGTGTGTGATGTGGGTGGCCAGCAGTGTCTCTGTGCAGCCTCCTCCAAGCAGGGCGTAGGGCTCCCTCAGAGTCAGTCGCAACACATGTTCTGCTCTCTGGCATGTCATCTGTCCAACAAATGAAACAAATGTTCATCATATGAGAGAAGGGAAAGAGGGGATTCATGCAATAAGTTTGAATAAATAAATGTGAGTCCAGTAAATCTAGAAAAAGTCATTTGGAAAACTGGAACTTAAAAATACAAGGAACAAAATAAATAGCTTGGAGAACTGAGAGGGAAGAATGCACCCAAAATAAACCTTACTGAATTGTACGGCACAACCAGAGATTATTAGCAGAGCGGGGCAATAGATTGAACCTTCATAAAATACACTATATTGCCAAAAGTATTGGGACACCCCTCCAAATCATTGAATTCAGGTGTTCCAATCACTTCCATGGCCACAGTTGTATAAAATCAAGCACATAGGCATGCAGACTGCTTGTCTGCTTCTACAAACATTTGTGAAAGAATGGGTTGCTCCTAGCCTGGCTAACGTCAGACCACGTCTCATTGACATTGAGACGTGGTCTGGGAACCACATGTTCATTTTCTCGTATTTGAGGCGTGGTTTACGAATGCCCAGAGCCGTTTATTGTGTGCTACGAATGTCTATCAAATGCGCCTGTACGTAGCTCATAGCCAATCGTTTCAATTATACCAGATGACGTATGTAGAGCGAAAGAAATTAGACGAGGAAGAAGACGATGGGTCAGAGATTTATTTGCGTTCTAAACTACTTAGAACAATATCTAAGGCTGCATCGAAAGGTAACTTCGCGTCTGCTGCCATGTTTGATCCATAGGTATATAAACAAACTGCTTCGGTGTGTCGCATAGACGTCGTCATCGTCTTGCTGCTCCCTCTCCATTCTGTGATTGGTCCCCTCGCTGAGGCGAAAATTTGATCCATGGTATCCAGACTGCCTAGCAGCGTGAATAAAATCGAGCTGCGCAAAGGCAGTATGGGGAAACCCAGGCTAGGTCACTCCCAGGAGCTCAGTGAATTCAAGCGTGGTACTGTGATAGGTTGCCACCTGTGCAATAAGTCCATTTGTGAAATTCCCTCACTACTAAATATTCCACGGTCAACTCAGTCATGAAGAGGTAGGTCCCGTAAAACCACAGAGCGGGGCCAGCGCATGCTGAGGTGCATAGTGCGAAGAAGTCGCCAACTTTCTGCAGAGTCAATAGCTACAGACCTCCAAACTTCGTGTGCCCTTCAGAATAGCTCAAGAACTGCGTAGAGAGCTTCATGGAATGGGTTTCCATGCCAGAGCCGCTGCATCCAAGCCTTACATCCCCAAGTGCAATGCAAAGCGTCGGATGCAGTGGTGTAAAGCACACCGCCACTGCACTCTAGAGCAGTTGAGATGTGTTCTCTGGAGTGACCAATCACGCTTCTCTGTCTGGCAATCCGATGGACGAGTCTGGGTTTGGCGGTTGCCAGGAGAACGGTACTTGCCTGACTGCATTGAGCCAAGTGTAAAATTTGGTGGAGGAGGGATTATGGTGTGGGGTTGTTTTTCAGGGGTTGGGCCTTAGTTCCAGTGAAAGGAACTCTTCAGCATGCCAAGATATTTTGGACAATTACATGCTCCCAACTTTGTGGGAACAGTTTGGGGATGGCCCCTTCCTGTTCCAACATGACTGCGCACCAGTGCACAAAGCAAGGACCATAAAGACATAGATGAGCGAGTTTGGTGTGGAGGAACTTGACTGGGCTCTACCTCAACCCGATAGAACACCTTTGGAATGAATTAGAGCGGAGAATGCGAGCCAGTGCCCGGTTGCATAAAGCACCTTAAGTTTTTCCCTTAAGTATGAGACTTAAGGCGTGATTTCCCCTCAGCTAAGGGAATGACTTAAGGATGTTGCATATAATCCCTTAAACAGTTCTCTTAGGTAAGGGAAACCATTGAGTGTTTCACGACAGCGGCAGGTTTTGCCGTTATAAAATTCTATTGCTGGCATGGACACGTTATTTGTTAATACAGATAGCAGTAAGTTTCACAGAAAACAGCATAACATCGATAAGGAAAACAAAAAAGAAAATCAAATATGAAAAAGGACCAGACGAGACAGAAACTCAAATTGATAGTTTAGTCAAAATTGAAAATTCTGTCATCACCCTAACCTAGGCCTATATGTCGGACTAAACCCATAAGACTTTCATTCGTCTTTAGAAACAAATAAAGATATTTTTAATATTCGCCTATTATTTCTGTCCATTTATTGAAAGACGTAAAAGCAATCCATATGATTCAGGCTGTTTCGGAAGATCAAACGGGCGCGCAAGCGCAAGAACCAATGAGGTTTGCTCTTGCACATGACGTACACACGTTTGAGCTTCCGTTAACTATATAAGATGTGCTTTATGTGTTTATATGTGAAAAAACAGCAAAATGAAAATTTGTTTATCATATAAAGTGGCTGATCGCATCTCGTTAGAAGAATAGGATTGAACCTGCTCGCTCCGTGTAACACTGAAGGCCTGTTCACACCGGGATGAATTTTGCGCGCGTTATTCGCCGACGTTTAACGCCTCGTCTAACGCCTATGTGAGTGTGCACACCGACGCGAAAAACGCCACGCGTAAAAGCGTCATTTTTAAAAAAACGCCTCGGGTTCGTTTTTTTGGTTTGACGCGCCGCGTCAAAAACTATCCGACCAATGAGATTGGTGCTTTTGCTCATGTGTCTGGAGCTTCTGAAGTTACAGTAAAACACAACTTGGGGACGCTCAAACTCAAAACGGTCTTGCCGAGCACACAAACGTAACGGCGAAGAAGATGCGCCAAGTAGCGTCTACACCATAGATATCCATAATAAAGGCTAGATGTCTCGTCCGCGCTGCTGGCCAATGGCCTTTATTATGGATATCTATGGTCTACACTGCCGGGAAGAAATAAGACGAGGAAGATGCAAGGCGAGATGAATGTAGAGCTGCTGGTCTCGTTGGTGTCTGAACATAAAGAACTATGACAAACGCGACAGCGACTACAAAATAGGACTATTTCTGTTTTACATTAAGCGCCATCTAATGTCAGGGAATGAATTTGCATGTTCACTCGGCTCAACGTCAGCGAAAATCGCTTGGGTGTGAACACAAAAAATGCGTTGAAAAACGCTGACGAATAATGCGCGCCGATCTTCGTTCCGGTGTGTACGAGCCTTTAAGTTTAAGGGAAACCTAAGGGCGTTCTTAAGGAAAATTACACTTAAGGTGCTTTATGCAACCGGCCTTCTCGTCCAACATCAATGCCTGACCTCACAAATGCGCTTCTAGAAGAATGGTCAAAAATTCCCATAAACACACTCCTAAACCTTGTGAAAAGCCTTCCCAGAAGAGTTGAAGCTGTTATGCCTGCAAAGGGTGGGCCAACTCCATATTAAACCCTACAGATCAGGAATGGGATGTCATTTAAGCTCATGTGCATGTAAAGGCAGATGTCCCAAAACTTTTGGCAATATAGTGTATCTGTGATGATTTGACTGCCGATATAAAAATGCGCATTGTGAATATAGCGATGATTTTAATGCAGCTTTTAATTGGCATTATATTTCCTAAAGATCCTTTTTTGTCTCATGACTTGGGATAATGAGAGCATTAAAACAGATGTTTTTAAACACATCTAAGACAGATGTTTTCATTAGCTTGATTCAATTTGGTAAATTGCTTCAAACTGTGAGTTTAAATTAATTGGTATAAAAACTGTTATTGGTGCATTTAAATTAAAATAATTAAAATGACTAAATGAACATAAAAATCTTGACTTTAACATGTTGGACGAACCTTCAGTTCTTCAAGCATAGTTTCATTTCTGTGGCAAAGTACCAAGGTGCTAATTGCAGCATCTTCAGAAGGAAGAAGATGGAGCAGCTCTCTGGATCCACATGACTGGAAACAGAATCCTCTAACCAGTCCGTAAGCTTCAGCCGGGACTGGAGAGCAAGGAGAAGCAACAGCCCGAGCACCTGAAATTAAAATAAAATGAAGCCTCTAAGAATGTAGCATGACATTTCTTTTCAATACTATTGTATTGCACAATGATGTTATAATGATGTATATATACATATACTGTATATATATATATATATATATATATATATATATATCACCATTGTTGGGTGTAACTAAGTTACTAAGTAATTAAGTTACTCATTACTAAGTAATTACTGAAATTTAATTACCTTTCCCTGGAAAAAGTAAAATAAGGGATTACTCTTAATTTTTCTGTAATTTAATTACATTTACTTCTGATGTAATTGCATTAAATACAGTACAGACTACAATTTTTATATCAAACAATACTGGATTTAACATCAACATTTTACGTCTAATTATAAAATGTATGTTTTTAATTTAACCTTATCACTTTAAATACTTTGGTCAGTTCAATAATAATTTATGCAATTTATTTTTAAAGAATTAAAAGAGCAGTTTCATGTCTATCCTTGTATTGTTCAACCGGTCGAGGTTGATATTGGATTTGTAATGCAATACTTTTAAGAGAGTGATTAATACAGTAATATAATTACACTGGTGAAGATGTAATTAGTAGCTAGTAGTTAATTACTTTTAAAGTAACTTACCCAACACTGATTATAGCCTATAAATAATTCAAAGAAGGCATGGCTTTAAATAATAAAAATCATAAGTAAATACATACCCTACAGTTGAAAAGTACATTTAAAACAGGAATATTGTGAAATATCATTACATTTTAGAATAGCTATTTTCTATTTTTTTTATCATATTTTAAAATGTAATTTATGTCTATGATGGCAAAGCTGAATTTTCAGCATCATTACTCCAGTCTTCAGTGTCACATGATTCTTCAGAAATCATTCTAATATGCTGATTTGTTGCTCAAGAAAAAGTTCTTATTGTTGAAAACAGGTGTGCTGCTTAATATTTGTTTAAAAATGTTGACATTTTTTCAGGATTAAAGTACAAAAAGACAGGCATTTAAAATAGAAACATTTTTTTTTACATTAAAATTGTTTGTCACTTTAGACAATTTAATGCGTCTTTGCTGAATAAGTAAGAACGCTAAGTAGAAATTGTGTTTATTTTCTTAAGAAATTAGTTTTAAAATACGTTTTTTAACATGCGATGTATTTCCATCAAAAAACTTCTTCATTGAATGTTGTTTTATTCAGAAAAAATTATTAGTTTTTAAATATACAGTCAGAGTTGGAAATACAACTTGAAACTATATTAAACAATTTAGAAAACAGCTATAAATTCATATTCAATTCTATAAATATTCAAAAATATCTACCTGATATCTGGATAAACGGCTCCATTAGGGCAAGTCCAAGCCTCTCTATCACCACCACTCCATGTTCCCTGAAGTAGTGCTGAAGGACTGGATGTACTACTTTCTGACAAGCAAATAAGCTCACTTTGTCCTTAACAACTTGTTCCCCAAGCTTCAAGAGCTGCTGAAGGAGATCAAGCTCTAGGTCCACTCCCCTATGGATCTCCAATGTTACATCTCCAACCTCAGACATATCACCTGACAGTGATGCACTGAAAACCACCACTTTAAATGGACCAGATCCCAGTCTCTTGAGATCTGCAGGTTGAAGCATCTCAGGGACATCCACCAGCAGTCCAGGGAAAACAGAAGAATCGCTCACCGGTTGGCCCTCAATGCCGATGGTAACTGTCCTTCCAAAGCAGGCCACATCAGGAGAGTTGCAAGGGATTGAATACAGAAAGGCCTGTGCGATCAGTGAACTGATATGCTGTGTCTCCCTGCTATTCAACATGCAGGCTGGTTTGCTGGTGATCATGCTGCGGGCCAGGGCAACGAGTGAGTCACAGCTGCTGAAGTCTACAGAGACCTTACAACCACAAGAGTCTCCTTTAAGATACAGGTTGCATTCTTCCACAAGATGTTTGTATGACTTGGCTGCCACAACTGTTCTTAGGTTATATTTTTGAGTATTTTCAATAAGTCTCAGCATGAAAATCCCCATAAACAGCCCACAGTCACTGTAACGTGCGGTGTGATGTTGAACAGAAGTTGAGATCAGTTTGAGAAGCGGCTCAGACATATCTACTCGCTTGAGCAGCGCTGTAGAGGTTGAAGTGGTCAAGACGTGACCCCCAACATTGTTGTGTATTTGTTTCAGTCTGCCAGTAGGTCCATAGGCAGTACTGAGTATATTTCTCAAAAGAGCTATCTTTTGGCAGATGTTACTGTCTGAAAGTGGTTCATCTGTGCACATAGCAGGTTTCTTCTTACAAATGCGAGACATACTGTGGTACTGGTTTCATTCAGAGAAATTCACAGAAGATTATCAATACAGGTCAGTTGCTTTGTAATAACACTTAGAACTTAATAGATCACATGTGTAATAGTACAATATAATGATTTTATGTAATGATTGATCAATATTGTAGTATAATATCTTTGATTTAAACCAACATCAAGATTTTAGGTTAACATGTATATTAAAGCATACATGAGAGTGTATATTTAAGGTAAACGTTTCTCTTAGTTTTCCGACCTTTTTACCTTTAATAGTTCATTTTAAATGGCCATGTGGCGTGACTAATTCTTTTATAAATAGTAGTCCGGAGACAAATAATATGAGGTCATAAAAACTGCTTACGTAGTTACAAAACAATTAGTAAAATGCTGTTTTGGAGTTAAGCAAGTATTTTACGTCGACAACCTATTAACATTATCATAGTAAAATGACTTGATGGCATTAACTTATAGAATTATTTCATATGACAACTCTTGTTGCTGATTTGTAAATAAAAATAAACTCAATAGCTTATAAAACGCGAGGAGACGTGTACAATTTACTTTACGAGGCTCGTACATTCCCCAATGTTAAGCTTATTGTTCAACGACCAAACCAAAACATAAGAAAGAAAAACCAAACCGTACGACATTAGCCAAGCAGCAGATTGTGTTTACGTCTTACAACCATAGGGCTTACAACACATGCTCTTATGTGGTAACCAAACATGCCAGTTAAAAAAGTATTTAACAACAGAAACCAATAAAACAACCATTGGCTTTTACATCGCCAACATTACGCATTCAATGCGGAACTATAATTTTGTTAAGATATATAACACCATGGATATTTCGCAATTTACGAATAACGATCATGACTGTCCGGCAAAATATGCAGCCGCCTATATCCGACCGAGTCTCTATGACAACTATACGCGCTGTGGTCCTAACGTGACAGGGCAAGTTTCAAACCATCGGCGGGAGGAACTGATTCAAGCTTCTTTCATTACCGTTATTTTATCGTTATTTTGGACTAATTTTAATTACAAATATTAATTTTATATTGCCAATTATATCTAATCGACCAGAATGTCATAAGAAAAGTATGTGAGCGTTCTTTTACCACCATTCCTGCTTTGTTTCGATTTGGGCTTTTCTTCAGCTCCATCCAGCTGCTTCTGTCACAAACACGTGAGTATTTCACTCAGAAATAAAAATAAAAACGTTACTGATTTGGGTTTCATCACTGTATGTTCTCAGCATTAGAAATGATTTAAGTTTCATTAGATGTGGAGATTTTGACCAGTTCCTTTGTTGTTTGTGGTTGTTCAGCGCTTTCTCTTTGATCTTTTGCAGTGTTTCATCAGAATGCAGTCCTCTAAATTTGTGGTTAAGGTATGTAGAAGTATTTATTTGATCTTTTGGTCATTGCTGCAGTATTTTGTGTTCACGTTATAGTTTTTAGTGTGATTAAATGTGATTTTCTGCCGCCACATGAGAACAATTCGAGCTTGTCATAATTATGACCTAAGTTAACGTTATATATAGTCAAAACTTTTTTTATTGCAAATGAAAGGTTATAGATATTAACAGTAATAAATAAATAAAATAATTAATTATTAAGAGGGGCATGAGGCCATCACAAGAGGTTATAAGAATTACACCACAACTTAACATTTTGTCAATATGAAAAATTAAAAAACTCAAGGAGGCTTTTCGAACTCTTTGTCGAACGAATACGTTTTCGAAATCTTTGAGTTCCAAGGTTTGACATTTTCTTATATAGTCGAATTTTTTTGTCATCATTTTGACTTTTATCTAATCATCATTTCACATTTTTATGTCATAATTTCAACCTATTTATTTCATCATTACTTATGTCATAATTCAAAATCTTTTACTTTTATCTAATCATTTGGACTTTTTATGTCATCGTTTCGACCTCAATTTTAGACTTAACCATGTTATGGCTTATGTCATAATTTCAACTTTTATGTCATAACTATGACTTTTATATTTTTATTTCCACCTTTTATGTCATAATTGTGACTTTTTATCTTTCACTTTTATCTAATCAGTTGGATTTTTTATGTCATAGTTTTGACTTTGATTTTTGACAACCATATTATGGCTTGTGTTATAATTTCAACTTTTATGTCATAACTATGACTTTTATGTAATTTATGACTTTTATATTTTTATTTCGACCTTCTATGACAAAATGATGACTTAGCATATCATCCCCCGGTTGGACAGACAAGGCTTAAATCTAGTCCCAGACTAAAATGAATGTTTGAGCTGTTTTAACTGAAAGTAACTTGCACTGCCATATCTTAAAATATGTCAGTATCATTGTTTTGTCTCAAGATGCACACCAGTAATGTTTTTTCTCTAAGGCACGTTTATAAAAGACTACTAAAATGCCCTATGCCATCAGCCATATCACCCAAGACTGGTTGCCCGGTGAAGCTAAGCAGGGTTGAGCCTGACAGTACTTGGATGGGAAACCTCCTGGGAAAACCAGGTTGCTGCTGGAAGAGGTGTTAGTGATGCCAGCAGGGTGTGCTGCTCACCCTGTGGTCTGTGTGAGTCTTAACGTCCCAGTATAGTGATGGGGACACTATACTGTCAAAAAGCACCGTTCTTGACTCCTTCGGATGAGACGTTAAACTGAGGTCCTGACTCTTTAAAAATCCCAGGATGTCCTTCGAAAAAAAGAGTAGGGGTTTAACCCCGGCATCCTGGCCACATTTGTCCATTGGCCTCTGTCCATCATCATGCCCTCCTAATAATCCCCACATATACTGATTGGCTTCATCACTCCGTCTCCTCTCCACCTATAAGCTGGTGTGTGGTGGGCGTTCTGGCGCTGTATGGCTGCCACATTAGTGGTGTTCGAGGAGATTCTCCCTTCCATATGTAAAGCAATGAATTATTATTATTATTATTAATAATTGAACTAAGGCCCAATCCTGGTTTAATCTAAGTCTGTGAAGCCTGGCACTTTCTCATTTTAATGTCATAATAATGACTTAATTAAATTTCTTATTTGTGATTTACCAAAGCATGATTTATTTTTCTTATGTGGCGGAAATGGGCTTCCGCATTATAAGTTATTTATAGAGACTCAAGATCAACAAAAAATTCAGAGCTGTTGAAAAAATGCAACTACTTCATTTCTAAACACTAGAGGGGGTAGTTGCCTCAGCAAATGAATGCTATCAGCATGCAGCTGTCACTCTGAATGTATTAATTTAGTAGTTTACAGAACATAGCTTCCACTTTTTCATGTTCTTTGTGTGTGCTCATTACATGTTTGTGACAAACCATGCTACAAAAAAACGTCCAGATTTCAACATAGCGTTACGCTGCTGTATTATATTTTCCATACCACCTCAGTCACTTTCTTTTACAATACATTAGTTTGATGTTTATAATCATGCATGCATCTATCCAGCTGAATGTCTCCTCGGGCCGTGTTTCTCGGCAGCACAGATCATGCTGGACCGGCCCTGTCTATTCATCTTCAGGCCAGATGAATGTCAATGAATGTCAGTGCTAATGCATGTCAGATGTTTCTATTAAGTGCTAGAAAAGCCCTGGGTCTCTGTCTTTGTTGATGTTTCATATAGTGAAGGCTTTAACTCTCGTTCCTGGACGCTGCTGTGGATCACACACATCCGTGTTTAGTGCCAGACTTTGGCTGCATATTTGTCTCTTTCTGTCTTTCTCACTCATCATTTCTCCCGTCTTTCTGTTTTTCATTGTGGGAGAGCACCACTCACCAACTTCACCCTCCCAGTCTGCACATAATGATACTGTTATATATGTTGCTCTCCCTGAGAAAGGAACTGTCATGCCCAACACTGTGACCACAGGGTGACATTTAAAACGGGGAGGCAAACAATACCATCAACTGGCCCAGTTCTCAGCTAAACTCTTGTAGGCGAGCATACGACCGGTGTCAAGATATTACAATACTGTATTCTTTTCTATCCCAGCTGAAAGGGATAGTTTATCAAAAAATGAACATTTCCTCCGAATTTTGCCTCATGCCGTTCTAAACCCGCATGCCTTTCTTTCTTCTGTGGAACACAAAAGAAGATTTTTTTTTAAAGAATATTTTGTCTACAAAATGAAAGTCATTGATTATGCATAAAAAAGTCATACAGGTTTGGAACGACATGAGGGTGAGTAGATAATGACAAAATTTAGTTATTGGCTGAACTATCCCTTTAAGAAAACTGTAAGTACAAACAAATCTGTAGAAAATCAGAAAAATCTTTACATTATAAAATGACTTTTCATAAGCCATTCGTAGATTGATTGTTTGAACATCCTGACACAGCAACATTAAGTTGAATGTCATGTTTCCACGGTGCGGGGCAGTTAATGTTGGAGATGAGATACTCCCACGTAAATTGACTCATGCTTCAAGTCGAGGCCCTGACTTAACGCCTCAGAAGACACTGAATATTTACACAAGACCTGCCACGCCACTCTGCTGTTATACCCATTTGGTGCAGGAGATGATGGGAGAGCGTGATTCTTTGTTTTTGAGTATGAACATTAAGTGCTGGGTAGTATGACAGATGTCTTGGCTCTGGTTTATGTGCTAGGTCGACTTCCCTGGTAGATACGGACCACACACTTGGACCTCCAAGCATCCTGTTACTGTCACCGGATCAAGGAAATATGTTGTCATTTCTGAAATGCAGAGGGAAAAATGGGATGGATGCAGCTTAACAGACATGGGAGGATTTAGGATTCATGTCGTTTTTTGAAAATGTCCAAGAAATATTTCAGTTTGTTAATTACCACAGATGTTTAGATTCACCAGCTTAATGTTGGTAGTTTAGCAGCATTTATTATAAAAACCACAGTGTGAAGAAGTGGAGGAATGTTTTGTTTTTGTTTTTTTTTGTTTCCCAATACTTCCTTTTTACTAGAAATCTTGGGATCTTTCCGATATTGTTCAATTGTTTGTAGAGCTTTACTAGGTGATATTCCTGCCTGTTCTTGCAGTTGGAATTTTGCTTCTGGGTTGTGTCCTTATGAAAAAAAAAAAGAACTCAATTCAGGTGTGCTTACATCCAGAGATTAACTCACAGAGTCCCTAGAAATAAAGGCCAGCTTAGTCATAATCATGCTGATTTGTTAGTGGTTTGTGTTAAGGTTTTCAAATCCCCTGACCCTAAGCAAAGGCTCCAGACTAAAAAAATAAATAAAAAATTATTAGGGAATTTTTGCACTTATAATACACATTTGGATTTAAAAAACAAACAACAAAACACCTTTAATTAGACAAATATTTTTTGGGGTAGAAAAAAGACATGTTTTTTACATTTATTTAAATGTTTTTGTTTTTACAATATCATAATTCAGAACTCATTAATCCCACTGAACGATTTACTGGCTGAGTGAGTAATAAAATAAAATATAATATTAAAATAGTTAATAAAAATTGTTTGTAAGAGTCATTTGTTCATGAAATGCATGGGAATCATAACTCATAATGTGCTCATTGTTGCATGGAGCAAACACTAGCACACACTTTAACGATGTAATTAAAGAACATGAGATATATGACAAAACCATACCGTTTTAGATTTTTTTTGTCTGCACTGTTATTTTTACAGGAAAAAAATAAAAATGCCTCAGTAAAAACCTGTTATTTGTTCAACTTTAAGTTACATTACCATTTATGGTGACTTTTTAAAAATAATTTAACATCGCGTTATATGTAATTTACTGCAAAATACTGCAAATGTATGGTTTTTGCAAGTAAAATATGAATTATATAATTTATAGTGGAAAAAAATGTGAAAAGACATTCCCTGCGTTTAGTTTTTTCTTGATTTTGTTAGCAGTAATGGTTAGTTAATATTATTGCATTATTTTAGTGTAATGTGTGTTACCCTGATATTGTTTTGACCCTGTGTACTGTATTTTTTACTGTGAATTTCAGGCAACCACAGCTCCCTTATATTTTTATTTACTGTAAATTTTAACAGGATTTTTTTTGCAGTGTAGATTTCAAATAATTTAGTCACATTTTGACTGTTTTAGTTGCAGTCTGGAGCCCTGCTGCTATATTTAAGAACTTAAAGGGTTAGTTCACCCAAAAATGAAAATTCTGTCAGTAATTACTCACCCTTATGTTGTTCCAACCCCGTAAGACTTTTGTTCATCTGCGGAACACAAATTAAGATATTTTTTATTAAATCTGAGAGCTGGATCACTCCTCCATAGGCTTCTTAAGGGATCGAAACTGGCCGGCCCAAAAGTTATGAAAGACATCGTTAAAATAGTCCAAGTGACTACAGTGGCTCAATCTTAAGTTTATCAAGCGACGAGAATACTTTTTGTGCGCAAAAAACAAACAAAAATAACGACTTTATTCAACTATTCATTTCCTTCCTTGTGGGCCGTGAGATTTCACGTAGTGATATTGCGCAAAGCTTCTGTGTTGTACGTCACCCGCATCACACACATGACCAGCGTCGGCCAATAGTGAGCCTACGTGTGACGTACAACACAGAATGTATTCCACAGTTCCACTACGTGAAATCTCACGGCCCACAGGGAAGGAAATGAATAGTTGAATAAAGTCGTTATTTTTGTTTGTTTTTTTGCGCACAAAAAGTATTCTCGTCGCTTGATAAACTTAAGATTGAGCCACTGTAGTCACTTGGACTATTTTAACGATGTCTTTCATAACTTTTGGGCCGGCCAGTTTCGATCCCTTAAGAAGCCTATGGAGGAGTGATCCAGCTCTCAGATTTAATAAAAAATATCTTAATTTGTGTTCCGAAGATGAACGAAAGTCTTACGGGGTTGGAACAACATGAGGGTGAGTAATTACTGGGTGAACTACATTTTTGGGTGAACTAACCCTTTAAGCTCATTACTCATCCCACATTAGATTTGATACGCTGCGAATTTGAATGATGTCTCAAATCGTTTGGGTTATTGAAGAGAGGTGTGCTGCTATGTCAAATGCCATAGACCTTCATTGAAGGAGAGACCTGAGCCATATCTAGAGATCAGAATATCTTAGAGAGCTGGGGGTGGGCAATTTTTCCTTGAGTCAGTAAGTAACCAGAACACCTTAGCAACCACATAGCAGCGACCCTAGCAGCCACCCGGATCACACTAGCATCAGTGCGCTGAGTTTTGCATGCAAAAATCTAGTTAAACTTGTTTGTGCCTCATAGCTCTCTTGCTGACAACGTTAATGTTGACCCTCTTGAAGGAACGTCAGGTGATTCATGCCATACAAAATCAGCAAGTCAAGACCAAAGATTTAAACTTTTAACAGGCAACACCCATAGATCTAAAGAGTTCCCTTAGGCTCCGGAGACTGTTCGTCGACCTGCGACGCTCTTACAAAGACAAAGACGGAGCTAGACAGAGGGGGGAGTTTTATTGAGTGAGACTGCTTCTGCTGCCCTCTGTCTCTCATTCTCTCTTTCTCTCTCCCAGCATAAACATCTGTGGCTGGTTAATGTTAGCCCTGGAGCTAAGTGCAGAGAAAGGGGGTCTGGTTCTCACAGCAGCGATAGCAGTGGTAAAAGGGCAGGGATGTGTGGTGGCGAACAGGCAACTGCTGCACAAACGCTTCTGGGCCCACTGCCCGACACTAATCAGAGTGAGGGCAGGAGAAATCTCAGTTAGGGAGGGTGAAACTGATAAGAGTAGGTAACACGGGAGCATCTTGGGAACTGCAAGTGATGCAGAGCAGAGCCAGGAGTCCAAAAAGCCGAAAGCAACCCGGTTTGCCTCATGTGTTTTCTTAGCGATTGGGAGTAGAAAATAGCACAGCTTAGTGTCTTCGGTCAGAGCGGCAGGGACTGATTTGGTACTGTTCTGTTTTACTGTTTGTTTGGTTTCAGGGCCTTAGTAGTGTGTTTTTGGCAGGCCATGGTGATCTGATAAAGAGTGAAAGGTAAGAACGAGTTTAATCAGGAGGTTATTGACCTACAGAAAGCCTCAGGTGTATTCAACGAGGATCAACAAACGAAAGGATGTAGAAAAAGAAAAAGCTGTTCTTTGCCTCAAGCCCGATATACAATAATATAGTGAAGAGATAATATCTGCAAAAGATTTCCCGAAGACAGTATCATTCTTCCTTTAGAATGTGACACAGAGCTGTCAAGACTGTCATTGCACAACAGTGAAGGATTTGTTACTCGGCAAACAGAGAAATTGAATGTATCTGCCAAGGGATTGTTTAACAGAGGTTGTGTAGCGGGCTAGCGGCTTAGGTCAGAGATCACCTCTTGGTTCAGCTGTTTTCTGGCAGATTTTTTCCCCCCTGAAAGGCTTTTCTTTAAGGCATTCAACAAAACCGTTGCAAAAGTAACTGTTGCAAAACTTATGTTTTAATACCATTTTCTACAAATACAGCCAATGATTTTCTTGTTTACGGGCATAATAAAAGACTTTTGGATGGCTGTAGTATTTGTTATTGTGAAATTTTGCCTAAGAACTATTTTTTTATTTCTCACAAAACAAATACGAGTCCACATCTTCTGGATTCCTTCATTGTAGCTTGGTAATGCAACAGTGTTTAACTTGCTTCTATTCATGCAAACAGTACAATTGTTAAATGTGCAACATCCTTTCATCCAATCAAACAGGTGTTAAAGGATAGTTCATCCATAAATGAAAAGATCTGTCATAATTTACTCACATTCAACTGTTTCTTTCCCATGCAATGAAAGTCAATGATGTCCAAAACAAAAAAAAGTTTAGCAAAATATCTTCTTTTGTGCTCCATAGAAGGAAGAAATGCATGCAGATTTGAAACACAACATGAGGGTAAAGTAAATGACATGATTTTCAGTTTTGGGAGAACTATCTCATTGCTACCAATGGCACTAATCCTTTCACAAGCGAACCTCATTATTCTTTCCAATCACTGTATGTCAAATTGACTCCCATTTAAAGACAGACCCCCATATTAGGCAAATCCATTTTTATGGTTTCTCTCTGTCCCATAGTCACACAGGGCCTGGAAAAGCCGAGCGAACATGCTTCTCAAACACTGGGAACATTCCTACAGTCTTCTGTAATGGCATATTTCGGATTTCAAAAAGAAAGTGGAGAAAAACAGAACAGCATGCGATTAGTGTGGCAGTTCCAGAGGCAGCGTAAGAAGATGCATTATGGGATCATCGAAGCCAAGCTCCTTTTCACCGCCTGATTGACAGTTCCTGTCCATTCCCTCCTATGCTTTCCCACGCCACGGTAATTGTGCAAGGCAGTCAGCCGAAACCACTGGTCAGTTGCAGAATGGGCACAGCACAAAGACGTGAGGAGAAAGCCGCCCAGTGTTTTCTAAAGGATCTGCTGTCCTCCACATACACGCATACATAAAGATTCCTCTGTTTCTTCTTTTAGCTCTTGTCTCCGCTTGCCCACAAAGGATTAACTTGGCTTCAATGCTGCATCGGATGAGATTTATCACGGATATTGGAATGAATGTATCTGTAAGGATCTCAATGAAACGAAAAACAACCTTGACACAGATCCTAACAGAGTTGTCTCATGTCACCACCACCACCTATATATAGCTGCTTATCTTTAAAAAACACACTTCCATAGTCTGACACAAGGGGGCAGCCTGTCCCTCAAGTTCAACACGGCCGCCATCAAACTAACCCTCATGTACACAAAGCAGCAATTAGAGGAAAATATGCTTTCATGTCAAAAACAAAGCTATTTGGCAGCACGATTTGGCCTGTCTGTGTGCTAATAATGTGCCGTAATCCTGCTTGACTGGAGATGAATTCGGAGGTTAGAAGCCAAACGAGAATGCTGGAGACGTTTTATTTACTCAGTCGCTGTAGATTCCACCGGTATGGGGAGGCATAAATCATTGCTTATGTGACGAGTAAGAAAGAGACAAAGATGTAAAGAGAGAGAGAAAACTAGTGTAGCCATAGAGCGGTGCTAAACAATGGGGTTTACCCAACACACCCTTCTAATTCACGTTCTCACGTCATCCTTTCCCAGCTGGCCTCGGAGAAACACGGACCTAGAGCATTACCGCCTGGCCCGAGCCACTTTAGCTCCTCTCCAGGGCCCACTAAAACACACTCGCTCATTCGTGTTCTATCAGGATTTCATCAGGCACTCTGGAAGTGCTCTAGAATGTGTTCTGGACTGTGTCTTGAAAAGGGGAATTTCTTTCCGTCTGATCCCCTCTGATGTCATCAGCTCGTTTCTCCTATTGTCTATCAAGCTTGCGTCCCCGCAGCATCAATGTGGCCACATCTAGCTTTGAGCTCAGGTGTTGACATGCTTCAGCGCCGGCTCCTCTTCGTCCTCTTGCGGGTGGTCCAGGAAAGGCCTGTGTGAGTGGACCGGAGCACAGTGACAGGCTCGTTCTTGCGCTCATGTGTAAAACATAATCAGGCCAGTGTGGAGTGGAGATGTAACAAGTGCTTAAACGGCCGCGACTGCTCTGGCTCTCCTACTTCGCCGTGACTTATTGTCCCTGACGTGCTGACGCAGCGCTCCAATAATTCCACTCTTCGGACGAAGTTCTGGAGCCTCCCTGAATCTGGCCCTCTTCTCGTCACATTTCCATAAACTAGCAGGTTAGCGAGGTCATCCTTTAGCAAAGCCTGCAAATCCTTTGCTGTGTCAGTCCTCAGTACGTCTTTAGTTTTAACACCATCGTCTCTGAGATCAAGTGTATCTGGTTACTGACATGATGCTAATGAGGTGCGTTTACAAAGCTTGTAAACGTGGTGGGCAGAGAGGGGGGAAGCAGATGCACAAAGACAAACGGAAGAGGATGGTGTGACTTGCCTTCAGCTATGGATTTAAAGGTGTCATTTAATCAGCTCAGTGATGACTTTTTGTTGTATTTAAGACCCCCATTTTTTTCTCTTTTCTCTCTCAAAGTGTGGGAATTTCGCAGTGCTAGTGGATCTTCACATACTGCCCTTAGGCAAAGAAGACAATACCAGCTGGTTCTCTGCAGAGCACAGGAAGGTACGGGAATTAGGGTGTGTTTCTGTTTGTTTGTGTATGTCCTCTTACACTTCAATTGGCTGATACTGCAGAAATCTGGAATTTGGATCTACTCTTGGGGATCCCCCCCATCCTCCTCCTGCCTTTTATAAGATATGTTTTGGTTGGCCCACACAGCCGAAAGGCTTTGAATGATTTTCCCTCCCAGGTTTAACGCTACATGCAGCACTTCTAGTTAAATTTGAGCTCCATATAAAAGTTTTAAGACAAATGTCATCTTGGGAGGTTTGTCTTTATCAAGATTGCAAATATGTACGCAAACACTTATGTGTTTGTATTTACAGGAAGTCGGCTCTCTGATAAGAGATGCATTGGAGCCAAGGGTGAGGCAGTTTCAAGAGGCAAGATACCAGAAGATCCAGCCCAAACAGAGGAAAGATTTCACCCTGACTGCTCCACTCTGTCTTGAAGGTACAGCACACATGCACTCTGTTCCAAAACGTCCAAAAAGAGGTTTCTTTTCAATTTGGATGTCACCTTAGAAGGCATTTAAGCAGTATACAGCAAGGCAGCTCACTAGATTTTGGAACAGAGCCAAGATGTTTTGGTCATTTTTCTGCACTAAACTTGTATTAAAAACATGACTGTAACAAACATTTTAGAGTTGTTGCTGTTTGTTTGGCAATGTTTGATATTTAACGGCATTCTTTAGTTACGCCATTGGCATTTGTTCAGAAGATGGTGACGTACAGACCCATTCCTCATGTTCAGTAATGTCTAATAATGTTTAACTATATTGTAAGGGGTATACAGTCAAAGACCCAGAACCAGATATGAAGAATGAAGACCCGGAGTCAGAATTATAAAAAATTAAAGAAAAGTTTTACTGAAGATAGTTTGCATTTTCATCAGCAGAAGCCAGCTTCAAGACTCACACAGGAGTTCGTAGGCCGCCTCCCTTACAGTTACAAAGATCACAGCAGTTATACCATTTCCAAGGTCTAAGCTACGTCATTGCTTACAGGTTGAATGATTCTCATTGGCTAAGAAACATTAAAGCCTAAACAATTTAACACATGTGAGGAGATAGGGGTGCCTATCGCCATTAGTAAAGATAGTTGTCGTCCACTCATTGGATTTAGGCCTGTGGTGGCCTCGCAGGTTAGAGAAGGGCGCCGGGGTGTCTGGTCCGACCGTCCAGAACCTACATAGAATGTCATACGCACACACACACAAATAACAGACACTAGCAAATAACAGCTCCCATCAAGGCTGAAGAGAGTCTGAGCTCCTTATTATCAGTTAAGTATACCAAAACATACTGCTAAAACATTCACTCGTTTGGGAGAAAAACAGATCACTGGCATTTACTCCCAAGGAAGGAAATATACTGGAAAGAATACATTTTAATACAACAATTCAAGTTTGATAGTAACGCTCAATATAGCTTGACCATATGTCCAGCGAAGAATCATATGTGCCCACGCTGCCTTTAGGACCCTCTAACCTTTCTACTGATCCCAGAGAAAGAGACAAACGGCCTTGTGGGTTACGTGGCCTTCGTGTCCTGCGTGTACTACGTGCAATCTCAAAGTAAGATTGGAATGCACCTAAAAGAAACTGGTTACTTGCATCCATGCATTTAAGAAAATATAATTTCACAAGCACAAGAATATAAAAATTATTATGTGATAATGAATATATTTGATTATTGATTTTTATAAAGGAAGTATATAACCATTCAAAATGATATATGATTATATATGTATTTGAAGAGGCAAGGGATTTTGACCAACCCTTCAATATTGATTTATGTCTACTTTTTTGTACCCAATTCAACCACAAATACCACTGTGATATTCCAATACAATTACGAATGTACCTGTCAAGGTATGTTGCACCTGAATATTTGACAATTTGCTATAGGCTATTGAAATATATAATTACCCGTGATGAAGCTGCAAGTAAAGACCTGTGTCTTTCCCTCACACCTACTTTAGAAACGATCTCTCCTTCATAAACATGAGACATGTCACACTGCTTCACAGCTTGGGCACTCTGTACACGGCTGTCCCAGAGTTGGAAGGGAAAGGTTTCAAAACAAAGTGGAGAAATCGAGGCCATACCTGCATGCCAGCAAGAAAAAAAACTAACTTTAAATGTATACAAAAGAGGAAGCAAGCTGTTTCAAACCACTGAAACTTTGTTTTAGCCAGATTTAGTTTGAAATGACATCACTCCCATTCATTCTTCGATTTCGCTTGATGTGTATTGGGGGCTTAAGGGAGGCGGTTCTTTCTACACAGGTAGCACTTAAAGACTGTAAAAGGCTGACTCACTGCATGGGCCAAGTCCCGCTGAGAGAGGTAGATTACAGGGCAGTTAAGCTCATAAAAAGAAATTTCTCCTCTTTAGATGTTGCTGCCCCTCTCACGGCCCATCAAAGAATGGCTGCACCACTGCAGAGGTGCTCATCTTTCTATGTTCTTGTTGTTCAGTGCTAGTATTACATGCATTTTTGCTTGTTTTACTCTCCTCTTGCTGCTGTGAGATAAGTCAGACAACAAGATAAAAAAAGCAAGGAGGCAGATTCTTTATAGTCTGGCATTAGCTAATAGGGGTTTAAGGATCTGTCTGTCAGTAGCTGGTTTCCCAGATAAAGATTAACTTACCTCAACTTTCACTCATGACATGGTGTATGTGTCCAGTACCTCTCATTAGAGAACGATTTCAGATCTGAAGAGCATATCATGAATCACTGCTCACTGTGTATATAACAGCTGTGAGAAATGCAATGTCTCGCCCTTGGTCCAGGTGAGAACAGGGTTATTGTCCAATATATCAGAAAGACTGACTCATTATCTCTGACAGATAAGCATAACAAATGAGGAAAGGCACTCACAAGGGTGTATGTGCATGGACAGGCTGTCTCCTTCACTTGTGTTCATAAACCTTGAAGTTTAAAAGTATTTTTTAGGCCTCTGGCAGGAAATGGAGCTGAACTGTGACTGGGAAATAAATGCAAGGGTCACATGCTCAATGTTGAGGTCAAACACTAACCAGCTGATCTCCTTTTCTAGTGCAACATACACACATGTGAGGGTGCCCACTCAGCAGATATGAAGTATCTTTTATGAAGAATGTATATTTAATATGTATATTTAGTTTTTATTTTATTTTATGTGATATATATATATATATATATATTAGGGGCGTAACTACACTGAACAAAATTATAAACGCAACACTTTTGTTTTTGCCCCCATTTTTCATGAGCTGAACTCAAAAGATCTAAGACTTTTTCTATGTACACAAAATGCCTATTTCTCTCAAATATTGTTCACAAATCTTGATATGCCACACCTGTGAGGTGGATGGATTATCTCGGCAAAGGAGACGTGCTCACTAACACAGATTTAGACAGATTTGTGAACAATATTTCAGAGAAATAGTCCTTTTGTGTACATAGAAAAAGTCTTAGATCTTTGAGTTCAGCTCATGAAAAATGCGGGCAAAAACAAAAGTGTTGCGTTTATAATTTTATTCAGTGTGTATTCAAACTGAACCAAAAAAACACGATACACTACCCACGGTACGTATCGCGATACTCTAATGGCGTCCCGACCCGAACGCGCCCAGTCCTAGCCTATTGTCGAGGTTGATCTTAGATCAACAAATCAACTTTTGCTGGAAGTCCCAAGGACAAGGTGCAGACTCTGGGGTGACCGGGCTTTTTCTGTAGCTGGGCCAAGCCTTTGGAACAAGCTACCTGCTGATATACATATAATCACTGACTTGGGCCTCTTTAAGGCTAAGCTTAAGACTTATTTATTTAGACTGGCTTTTAATTCATAGCAGTTGTTGTGGCATTTTGTGTTTTCTTTGTGACATACATTTTGTTTTTACATTTTGTTTTGTGGCTTTTTATATTTTGTATATATATTTTATTATATTTTGCATTATATTGTTGTCATTATATATATTTATTTTATTTTTATTTTATTTATTTATTTATTTTCTCTGGAAAGCACTTTGGTTCACCTTGAGTGTTGTAGAGGGCTGTATAAATAAATGTTGATTGATTGATTGATTGAACAAATTTTCTGACATTTGATTAAATGTTTTTTAGGGGTGTAACGGTACACGTATTCGTCCCGCAAATTTCCGTGTGTCTTATATGTTCAAGACGAATACAGCGTTGTAGCCTAACCACCATTAACCATCAATAATCGCAATAAGCTCCGTTTTTTGTTACTTTCGATAAGAAACAAAGTGTCATTTTTTTTAATTGTGTCCATTTTCTCACGAAATTCAAACAATAAATGCCGTTTTGACACTCATTAATGTGGCGTGACATCACTATAAAGGCACCTTAGTTTAAGCAGCTGCATGGGCGGAATGCGATTCTCTTCCTAATAAACGTGAATGAACATCTTATGGTATGTTGAAAGATACAGTACAACTTACTGAAACGTATCTTGTGTAATCGCTCAATTAGTGTTTCAACGGCAGAAAGACATCAGTAAAGCAGCTTGTAAACAATATCCTAAGTATGCATTATGTCATTTACCTCAGGCAAGTCATTCAGTGTCCACAGCTTGTTAGTTCGCTAGAGAAATGAACTCTTTCGCTACATATATGCACTATATTAGCCTATATATTCGTTATATTTTACTTAATCTGTTAGTGATGACTTGATTATTGAATGTATATAAAATATACATGTTTTATTTAGAAATATCCTTTTTTGTATGTATAATTATATATTGGAATTATAGTAAATGAATATAATTGGTTATACTCAACCCCAACATTTAATGATAAATATTTATATAAAATTTTATAGCCTACATGTGATTGGTTCATTTATAATATGTATGGCGGTGACATTCAGTGTATCCTTGATTCCTATATTGTTTGCAGAGTCTGCTGGACTGAGTATACACACCCCCTATGGTTTGTAATTCCAATACAAATGTCCAAATACCTTGTGAAGTCCACTTCGCGACACTTTCAGGCGATTGGAATGTACCCAAAGAGTTCTGCGATTTTCCCAGTCACAGAACATGTGACCACTCCAGCTGTCGGCTATCAACAGCTATTAACTCTCCCCAGATCCTTTTGTGTGAACTCACTTATTTTTCCTCTCTTGTATGTGTTAGCCGACATGGTTTCATCATGCATGCATCAAGCATGGCGTTTTGTGTTCAGTCTCAGCTTAGATGTGTCTATTGTCAACCTCTGTGTGGTTGTTTGAACGTGCATGTCACATTTATCATATCCAGTGAGCGTGTCACATGCCGACACATTTCCTCAGCTGCAAAGGCCATTTTTCAAATGTCAGCCCTTGTAGCTTCTCTCTGACTGGCTACCTCATGCTTCCCCATTAGCTCATAGTGAGTTGATTTATTTATGCTTTGGAGAGGGCGGGAAAGGGGGAACTTTTCCCACCAAATGTCTTGGCTTGGTGG